AAGACCTACAGGAAACGTATGATCTCTGTAATTGCAAACAAAGGTTTCTGTACCAAATATTAAGTTCTGCTTTTCTGATGTATCAAATACTTATGTCATGCAATAAAATGCCAATTAATTACTTAAAAATCATACAATGTGATTTTCTGGATTTTTGTTTTAGATTCCGTCTCTCACAGTTGAAGTGTACCTATGATAAAAAGTACAGACCTCTACATGCTTTGTAAATAGGAAAACCTGCAAAATCGGCAGTGTATCAAATACTTGTTCTCCCCACTGTTACAAGTGAGCTCTCTCCTCATATATGTTGTTGTAGGTTCTCTGCAGAGCAAACCTCCACATTAGGATTGTGGGGGTGAGGAATTGGATGATTTGATGGAAATACTTCTGATTTGGAGATGTACAGTTTGTCTCTTTTGAGGAATAACTGCAAAAAGAGGAGCCCTGGAGGTTTTGCCCAACTGTTCTAATTTATTTACTAGTCAAATGTGTCCTTGTGCAGATATAGTAGTATTATATGTAGATTAAGTGTAGCGTTATAAAAAGGGCCAATGAAAGGCAGGCCAATGTCATTTTGCTTTATCTTGGCCAGGTCGCAGTTGTAAATGAGAACTTGTTCTCAACTGGCTTACCTGGTTAAATAAAGGTGAAATAATTTTTTATTTTTTTTAATTGTAGGATGCATGAACCTAAAACGTTTTGAAAAACATTCTAAAAAACGACTGTAAAAGGTCACAAAATATATTTACAAAGGAAAATAAAAATAGACTTCAGATAGGATGTGCAAAGACCATCATAGTTCATGAGCCAGGGGGGTCGGTCGGGCTCACATGGGCCGACGATGTCTCATAGTGATTTTCTTGAAGGTCTATGTCCCTATAGTTGCAAAATGTTTGATAGCAGTGCAGCAATGGCAGCTTTCTCTGTGTTATCAATCTATCTTTCATCTCTCCATCCCATTCATTAATATGGAGTTGGTCCCTACTTTGCTGCTATAACAGCCTCCACTCTTCTGGAAAGGCTTTCCACTAGATTTTGGAACATTGCTGCGGGGACTTGCTTCCATTCAGCCACAAGAGCATTAGTGAGGTCGGGCACTGATGTTGGGCAATTAGACCTGGCTCGCAGTCGGCGTTCCAATTCATCCCAAAGGTGTTCGATGGGGTTGACATCAGCACTCTGTGCAGGCCAGTCAAGTTCTTCCACACCGATCTCAACAAACCATTTCTGTATAGACCTTGCTTTGTGCACAGGGGCATTGTCATGCTGAAACAGGAAAGGGCCTTCCCAAACTGTTGCCTCAAAGTTGGAAGCACAGAATCGTCTAGAATGTAATTGTATGCTGTAGCGTTAAGATTTCCCTTCACCAGACCATTATTCCTCCCCCACCAAACTTTACAGTTGGCACTATGCATTGTGGTAGGTAGCGTTCTCCTGGCATCCGCCAAACCCAGATTCGTCCGTCGTACTGCCAGATGGTGAAGCGTGATTCATCACTCCAGAGAATGCATTTTCACTGCTCCAGAGTCCAATGGCAGCAAGCATTACACCACTCCAGCCGACGCTTGGCATTGTGCATGGTGATCTTAGGCATTGCAGTGAGTCTCCTGAGTGGCGCAGTGGTCTAAGGCATTGCAGTGCTAGCTGTGCCACTAGAGATCCTGGTTCGAATCCAGGCTCTGTCGCAGCCGGCCGCGACTGGGAGACTCATGGGCAGCGCACAATTGGCCTAGCGTTGTCCAGGGTAGGGGAGGGAATGGCCGGCAGGGATGTAGCTCAGTTGATAGAGCATGGCGTTTGCAACGCCAGGGTTGTGGGTTCGATTCCCACGGGGGACCAGTATGAAAAAAAAATAAAAAAAAATAATGTATTCACTAACTGTAAGTCGCTCTGGATAAGAGCGTCTGCTAAATGACTCAAATGTAAATGATATCTGCGACTGTTCGGCCATGTAAACCCATTTCATGAAGCTCCCAACAAACAGTTTTGTGCTGATGTTGTTTCCAGAGGCAGTTTGGAACTCGGTAGTGAGTGTTGCAACCAAGGACAGATGATTTCTACACGCTACTCACTCCAGTACTCATCGGTCCCGTTCTGTGAGTTTGTGTGGCCTACCACTTTGCAGCTGAGCTGTTGTTGCTCCTAGACATTTCCACTTCACAATAACAACACTTGCAGTTGACTGGGGCAACTCTAGCAGGGCAGAAATTTGACGAAGTGACTTGTTGGAAAGGTGACATCCAATGACGGTGCCACGTTGAAAGCCACTGAGCTCTTCAGTAAGGCCATTCAACTGCCAATGTTTGTCTATGGAGATTTCATCGCTGTGTGCTCTATTTTATACATCTGTCAGCAACAGGTGTGGCTGAAATAGCTGAATCTACTAATTTGAAGGGGTGTCCACATACTTTTGTATATATAGTGTATGTCAAGATTATAAATTATTCACAGAATTGTGGTAAGATTATTTAAGCGATTTATACAGGTTATTCTAATATGTATCCTAGAGGTCAAAGGTCATGGTTCTGTTGACCTGATCATTCCAAAAATGTCTGATGGATAGCTGTCAATCTAAGCTTTCTAATGATATATGATTAAAGAGTATACGTGAGCAATAACTTGTTGTATACTGACATTGTTTGTCATAGGGTAAAATCCTGGATGGACAATAACGTTTTATTTTATTCTATAGGGTAAAATCCCTATGGGGAAAATGAATGGGATGGAGGGATGAAAGATAGATTGATAACACAGAGAAAGCTGCCACTGCTGCACTGCTATCAAACATTTTACAACTCTGGGGAAATTGACCTTCAAAAACATCACTATGAGACATTGTCGTCGCAAATGAGCCCGATAGTCCAAATTTGGGAGTCTGTCTCATGGACTATCATGACCGTGGTGATGATTATTTTCATACTGTTTATAATTTCAATTGTACTGCATCAGCAACAATCCTTATCCCAGAAAGCCATCATTGCTATGCCACATGGAGGCTCATCTGTTTGAGAGAGTTGTTTCTCGCTGACAACGCTATTTTCCAGCCCAGCATGTATCTCTGGGTTCAAAGGTCACCACTATCTCTCCCTTGACTTGTATGGATTAAGTGGGCTCTCTGGCTCCAGCTCCCCTCAGCTCTCTGGCTGTCATTCTCTCTCGTGATGCTGCTCTGGTCTGGTTCTCTGTCTCAGAGTGCCACCATTACACCATGAGCAAGGCATGCTACAACCCTGACCATTAGCAAGGCATGTTACAACCCTAACCATTAGCAAGGCATGCTACAACCCTAACCATTAGCAAGGCATATTACAACCCTAACCATTAGCAAGGCATGTTACAACCCTAACCATTAGCAAGGCATATTACAACCATATCCATTAGCAAGGCATGTTACAACCCTAACCGTTAGCAAGTAATGTTACAATCCTAACCATTAGCAAGGCACGTTACAACCCTAACCATTAGCAAGGCACGCTACAACCCTAACCATTAGCAAGGCATGCTACAACCCTAACCATTAGCAAGGCATGTTACAACCCTAACCATTAGCAAGGCATGTTACAACCCTAACCATTAGCAAGGCATGTTACAACCCTAACCATTAGCAAGGCATGCTACAACCCTAACCATTAGCAAGGCATGTTACAACCCTAACCATTAGCAAGGCATGTTACAACCCTAACCATTAGCAAGGCATGCTACAACCCTAACCATTAGCAAGGCATGCTACAACCCTAACCATTAGCAAGGCATGTTACAACCCTAACCATTAGCAAGGCATGCTACAACCCTAACCATTAGCAAGGCATATTACAACCCTAACTATTATCAAGGCATGTTACAACCCTAACCATTAGCAAGGCATGTTACAACCCTAACCATTAGCAAGGCATGCTACAACCCTAACCATTAGCAAGGCATGTTACAACCCTAACCATTAGCAAGGCATGCTACAACCCTAACCATTAGCAAGGCATATTACAACCCTAACTATTATCAAGGCATATTACAACCCTAACCATTAGCAAGGTAGCTCTTCTTGCATTCATATCAATTTAAAGGAGAATAAACTGATTTTGTATCGCCACCTCTCTTACTTTCTTTCCGCATCTTTTCTTCACCAGATTTGTGAATACATTTTGCCTACCTTCTATTAGTTAATTGGCACTGCACATTGAATGGTCAGTTTTAAAGCAATAGCATTTTCATGTAGGTACTGTAGAAGAGGTGATTCCTGGAAAGAGCTGGCTAAAGTCTTAACAGTGGGTACTCGTGGGAGGTAATTCTAGACAGCCATACAAAACTACAATACCATACTGGCCCTGGCACACCATTTACTTATCTGTACATGTAGATACAATCAGGAAATTAATTGTTCAATTTGTAAGACTTACAATGATAAGGTTTAGTGGGCTTGTTCTCTTTTCATACCATGCCTGCAATTAAACATTGAGCAATGGGTTTTGTCAGGATCTTTCTTGAAGTATCTGTTTTGAGTACCGTGTAACTTTTTCTTATTGTCAACACCTTCAATTTGTAAACCTGTTGGCTCCAGTTCATTTAGAACTGTCCTTGTTAGATGGCTCTAACTTAGGTGCCGTAATTGGGTTCAAAAAGTGTTGTGGATATTCCTGAATAATTACCAATGTAGGCATGAATAACCATTGGCTATCATTGTGTTGGTGGATATGAGGATGACAATAGAAGGCAGAATACAGTATTCAGAAACCCTCAACAATGATTTACATTCAAGGGCTACCTAATGGGCTTATGTTAATGAGCATATATTTACTGTTATTGCGCTTCCTGGAAACGGTGTTCAATTGGTTAGAGTGTGGCGCTAGCAATGCAAAGGTTACGGGTTCAAGTCCTGCAGGGATCACATACACCTACTATGCCTGCTATGTATTCACTCACTGCACTCTAAGTCACTTTGAATAAAAGCATCTGCTCAGTGGCATATTTATACAAGTTTATTTATACACATTATCTCCTCGTAGGATGCTGTTCTTCACTGACTATGGGGACGTAGCCAAGGTGGAGCGCTGTAACATGGACGGCACCAACCGAACCAGACTGGTGGATTACAAGACAGCGCAACCCACAGCCGTGGCCCTGGACCTGGCCAAGAAGCTGGTATACTGGGCAGACGCCTACTTGGATTACATCGAAGTGATGGATTACAATGGGAACAACAGACACGCAGTCATCCAGGACAGTCAAGTGAGTGTCAAGCCTCATTGTGTTGTCGTCGTGGGGCTGAGCTGAGCTCTGCTTCTGATGATTGTCTCCTTGGGTTTACGGTTTACATGCCACACGGGGCAATTAGTCTGAGGACATTTATATGGATATTGCAAGGAGACAATCTGAACTGTGTTTGTCCAATGTGTGGCTCAGTTGTTAGAGCGTGGCGCTAGCAATGCCACAGTTGTGGGTTCAATTCCTGCAAGGATCACATACACACACTTACACATTACAAGAATGATAAACCTTCCTCCTTGCAGACTGTTAACTACATCTTTCCAAAACTATACTTACAATGGCAGTTCAGGGGGCATTTCAGGCGAAGTAATAAATGCCTTTCTTCTACCGACAAAATGAATTCTATCTTGCCAAAGTCACTGTAGAGTTGAAACATCCCAAATGGTACCCTAGTCCCTATATAGTGCACTAATTTTGATGAGAGCCTCTGGTCAAAAGTAGTGCACTATTTAGGGAATGGGGTGCCAGGGATGCACCCAAGGTTTGATATCTCCTGAATATGGATTTTACTGGAACACTGCATGGTGATTCATTAGTGTGGATGAGTGGAAGAAGCTGTGATGAGGCCGCTTACAAATGGCCCAAGTCGTTAGTCCTTCTCCCTGTACTACACTTTGGAGACGGATAATTGGGGGAATAATATTATTCAAAAGGATGCCCCTTGAAAGCGACCTACTGTAGGCTATGATGGTGATGGTGATGGAAGGAAAAAAAGAGGCCAGGGTGTATGAAATACACCTCATTGTGTGTGCAGGTGTTCTTAGCATAATGATGCCTCTTTCTGTTCATAAATGCGTGGCCTCAGCAGACCTCTGCATATCGTCTCCATGACAAATGAAAGACAGAATTTACTTTTTCTACTGGCAGTGTTGCATCTTAATCCATTTTTGAGGCGTGCGTGTGCATGCATCCACATGGAAGGTGTCGGTCGGGTTAATGTAGCGTGTAGGGCGGTGTCATAGCCAGGGACAAGGCATGTTCCCAGAGCAAAATGCCCACTCCATGACCCTGTGAAGGCTGTGGAATACACACACACACACATACACACACATTTTCTCTTATGCCTTAGATCCTGGAGCTCCCAGAGTTGTGTTATAGATTAAAAGCTTAGTTCTTTTTGCAAGGGTGGGGGTTCTGTTGCATGTAAATGCATTGTTCTGCTCTGTTTTAGGTGTCCTACATCCATGGATTAGCTGTCTTTGAGAACTACCTGTATGCCACTCATTCTGACCCCTCCAATGGGAATATCATGGACATCTTCAAGATCCATCGGTTTAACACCACAGAACCCAGGACACTAACCAGCCTAGGGAGTTCCAGAGAAGCAATACGGGTTTACCACAGACTCACTCAGCCAAAAGGTAAAGGACATTTGGTCTCCGGCTGTAACATGTGCATGCAAGCACAGTACTTGTAACGCACAAGCTCATGGAGATGTCTGCATCACTGTGACTTGAACCAGTAATGGTACTGTGATGCATGCTGGTGTCAAATGTATATGTAGCCTACATGTGACAAACGGGCTGTGGATATGATTAGAATTCTCCATCACTTGATAAAGTACGGTCAAATGATTGTGTTAGAGGTGTGTTTGATGAGTCTAACAGACTTTCCTACTCCTCCTATCCTCTAGTTAGGAGTCACGCGTGTGAGACGGACCCGTATGGAAAGCCAGGTGGATGCTCCCACATCTGTCTGCTGAGCGGTAGCTACAAGTCCAGGACCTGTCGATGTCGGACAGGCTTCAGTATGGGAAGTGACGGACAGTCCTGCAAAAGTCAGTGTCACATCTCTCCCTCCTTTCCTTATGTCATAAACATGTAATCTAATCATAGCCTATATTTCTGAACACGCTGTAGAAAAACAAAGTAGAAAATGTATAATGGAGATGGAATAGTTCCCTCAAAGTACAAAAGTGTGTCCTATCACTTTAGCATCTACAGCAGTGATATTCAAAGTCGGGGTCGCGGGGGAACTGCAGTGGGGTCGCCAAAATGTAAAACAAATATATAGTAATACGAACACTTTTTTTTTAGGAACAAAATATTAAGAGTACAGATTATTGTATGGGACGATATACAAACGTTTTTTGAGAAAGATAATTTGAAAGACAACATTTTATTGAGTAAATGGTTTATTTATTGGTTTATTTTCATTTTGATAAGAGATAAAAATGCAATTAATTGAAGGTTATTAATTGAAGGTTATTTGTTGATGTAAAATCGTGAAACAAATTGGGTCAGATACATATGTAGGATCTTAATTTGATTACCCTGTTGCAATGTGGGAAATTTAAAATGTGTAGTAGTATTTTAGGTTTAAAAAGGCTTCTGAAGTTTGTAATTTCCACTTTGAAATTTCAGACTTGATTTTCCCTTAGGAAAAATGCATCAACCCATACAAAATTGTCCATTATTTATAATCCAAATAATAATTAAACATTTCTGTTAGTGCAGGATTATTTTCCTGCTTTAGCAAACTGCCTCAAATGAAGATCCTGTATATTGAGATGTCTGTCACTAGTGAGGATGTCACTAACACACGGTTATAATAACAGTATTCCACTTATCATCTAGCCTCATTTTGGCCAGCTAATAGCCTAACCATCGATCAAGCAACATTATGGGCTAAACGTTCAAACTTGTTGCTGTAGGATTATTTTGCTGTGACAATGCAGGTCAAATTAAGATCCTTCATCTGTATTTATCGCCCCGCCTCAGATAAAGCAAAATAATCCTGCAGCAACAAGATTTGAATGTTTAGTCCATAATGTTGCTTCTATATTTGTAAACAACAGCTGGTGCACAAAATCAAATACTAAGGAAGTCTCGAGGTTTTGTTCGCCTGAGGTAGAGTATCTTATGATAAGCTGTAGACCACACTATTTATCATCTATATTTTTCATAGCTGTCTATTTACCACCACAAACCAATGCTGGCATTAAGATTGCACTCAATGAGCTGTATAAGGCCATAACTAAACAGGAAAACGCTCATCCAGAGGCAGCGCTCCTAGTGGCTGGGGACTTTAATGCAGGGAAACTTAAATCCGTTCTACCTAATTTCTACCAGCATGTTAAATGTGCAACCAGAGGAAAAAAAGAATCTAGACCACCTTTACTCCACACACAGAGACGCATACAAAGCTCTCCCTCGCCCTCCATTTGGCAAATCTGACCATAACTCGATCCTCCTGATTCCTGCTTTGTATGCAAAAACTAAAGCAGGAAGCACCAGTGACTCAGTTAGTAAAAAAGTGGTCAGATGACGCAGATGCCAAGCTACAGGACTGTTTTGCTAGCACAGACTGGAACATGTTCTGGGATTCTTCAGACAGCATTGAGGAGTACACCACATCAGTCACTGGCTTCATCAATAAGTGCATCGATGACGTCGTCCCCACAGTGACTGTACGTACATACCCCAACCAGAAGCCATGGATTACAGGAAACATCCGCACTGAGGTAAAGGGTAGAGCTGCCGCTTTCAAGGAGCGGGACTCTAACCCGGACGCTTATAAGAAATCCCGCTATGCCCTCCGACGAACCATCAAACAGGCAAAGAGTCAATACAGGACTAAGATTGAATCGTACTACACCGGCTCTGACGCTCGTCGGATGTGGCAGGGCTTGAAAACTATTACAGACTACAAAGTGAAGCACAGCCACGAGCTGCCCAGTGACACAAGCCTACCAGACGCTTCCGTAGCCGATATGAGTAAGACTTTTAAGCAGGTCAACATTCACAAGGCCAAGACGTGTACTCCGAGCATGCACTGATCAACTGGCAAGTGTCTTCACTGACATTTTCAACATGTCCCCTGACTGGGTCTGTAATACCAACATGTTTCAAGCAGACCACCATAGTCCCTGTGCCCAAGGACACTAAGATAACCTGCCTAAATGACTACCGACCCGTAGCACTGACGTCTGTAGCCATGAAGTGCTGTGAAAGGCTGGTCATGGCTCACATCAACGCCATTATCCCAGAAACCCTAGACCCACTCCAATTTGCATACCGCCCCAACAGATCCACAGATGATGCAATCTCTATTGCACTCCACACTGCCCTTTCCCACCTGGACAAGAGGAACACCTACAGTGAGGGAAAAAAGTATTTGATCCCCTGCTGATTTTGTACGTTTGCCCACTGAAAAAGAAAGTATCAGTCTATCATTTTAATGGTAGGTTTATTTGAACAGTGAGAGACAGAATAACAATAAAAAAATCCAGAAAAATGGATGTCAAAAATTTTATGAATTGATTTGCATTTTAATGAGGGAAATAAGTATTTGACCCCTCTGCAAAACATGATTTAGTACTTGGTGGGAAAACCCTTGTTGGCAATCACAGAGGTCAGACGTTTCTTGTAGTTGGCCACAAGGTTTGCACACATCTCAGGAGGGATTTTGTCCCACTCCTCTTTGCAGATCTTCTCCAAGTCATTAAGGTTTCGAGGCTGACGTTTGGCAACTCGAACCTTCAGCTCCCTCCACAGATTTTCTATGGGATTAAGGTCTGGAGACTGGCTAGGCCACTCCAGGACCTTAATTTGCTTCTTCTTGAGCCTTGGCCGTTCTCTCCCAAGATTTGGGTGAGAGGTTCTCACCCAAGATTTGACGGTACATGGCCCTGTCCATCGTTCCTTTGATGCGGTGAAGTTGTCCTGTCCCCTTAGCAGAAAAACACCCCCAAAGCATAATGTTTCCACCTCCATGTTTGACGGTGGGGATGGTGTTCTTGGGGTCATAGGCAGCATTCCTCCTCCTTCAAACACGGCGAGTTGAGTTGATGGCAAAGAGCTCCATTTTGGTCTCATCTGACCCCAACACTTTCCCCCAGTTCTCCTCTGAATCATTCAGATGTTCATTGGCAAACTTCAGACGGGCATGTATATGTGTTTTCCTGAGCAGGGGGACCTTGCGGGTGCTGCAGGATTTCAGTCCTTCACGGCGTAGTGTGTTACCAATAGTTTTCTTGGTGACTATGGTCCCAGCTGCCTTGAGATCATTGACAAGATTCTCCCGTGTAGTTATGGGCTGATTCCTCACTGTTCTCATGATCATTGCAACTCCACGAGGTTAGATCTTGCATGGAGCCCCAGGCCGAGGGACATTGACAGTTATTTTGTGTTTCTTCCATTTGCGAATAATCACACCATCTGTTGTCACCTTCTCACCAAGCTGCATGGCGATGGTCTTGTAGCCCATTCCAGCCTTGTGTAGGTCTACAATCTTGTCCCTGACATCCTTGGAGAGCTCTTTGGTCTTGGCCATGGTGGAGAGTTTGGAATCTGATTGATTGATTGCTTCTGTGGACAGGTGTCTTTTATACAGGTAACAAGCTGAGATTAGGAGCACTCCCTTTAAGAGTGTGCTCCTAATCTCAGCTCTTTACCTGTATAAAAGGCACCTGGGAGCCAGAAATCTTTCTGATTGAGAGGGGGTCAAATACTTATTTCCCTCATTAAAATGCAAATCAATTTATAACATTTTTGACATGCGTTTTTCTGGATTTTGTTGTTGTTACTCTATCTCTCACTGTTCAAATAAACCTACCATTAAAATTATAGACTGATCATTTCTTTGTCAGTGGGCAAACGTACAAAATCAGCAGGGGATCAAATACTTTTTTCCCTCACTGTATGTGAGAATGCTATTCATTGATTATAGCTCAGCGTTCAACACCATAGTGCCCTCACAGCTCATCACTAAGCTAAGGATCCTGGGACTAAACACCTCCCTCTGCAACTGGATCTTGGACTTCGTGACGGGCCGCCCCCAGGTGGTAAGGGTAGGTAACAACATATCTGCCACGCTGATCCTCAACACGGGGGCCCCTCAGCGGTGCGTGCTCAGTCCCCTACTGTACTCCCTGTTCACCCATGACTGCATGGCCAGGCACGACTCCAACACCGTCATTAAGTTTGCAGACGACACAACAGTGGAAGGCCTGATCACCGACAACGATGAGACAGCCTATAGGGAGGATGTCAGAGACCTGGCCGTGTGGTGCCAGGATAACAACCTCTCCCTCAATGTGACCAAGACAAAGGAGATGATTGTGGACTACAGGAAAGAAAAGAGGACTGAGCACGCCCCCATTCTCATCGACAGGGCTGTAGTGGAACAGGTTGAGAGCTTCAAGTTCCTTGGTGTCCACAACACCAACAAACTATCATGGTCCAAACACACCAAGACAGTCGTGAAGAGGGCACGACAAAGCCTATTCCCCCTCAGGAGACTGAAAATATTTGGCATGGGTCCTCAGATCCTCAAAAAGTTATACAGCTGCACCATCGAGAGCATCCTGACTGGTTGCATCACCGCCTGGTATGGCAACTGCTCGGCCTCCGACCGCAAGGCTCTACAGAGGGTAGTGCGTACGGCCCAGTACATCACTGGGGCCAAGCTTCCTGCCATCCAGGACCTCTATACCAGGCGGTGTCAGAGGAAGGCCCTCAAAATTGTCAAAGACTCCAGCCACCCTAGTCATAGACTGTTCTCTCTGCTACCGCACGGCAAGCGGTACCGGAGCGCCAAGTCTAGGTCCAAAAGGCTTCTCAACAGCTTCTACTCCCAAGCTAAAGACTCCTGAACAGCCAATAATGGCTATCCGGACTACTTGCACTGCCCCCCCCCCCACCCCCACCCCATCTTTTTACGCTCCTGCTACTCTGTTAATTATTTATGCATAGTCACTTTAACTCTAACCACATATTAAATCAACTACCTCAACTAGCCGGTGCCTCCGCACATTGACTCTGCACCGGTTCCCCCCTGTATATATAGCCTCCCTACTGTTATTTTATTTTACTCCTACTCTTTTTTTCTCAACACTTTTTTGTTGTTGTTTTATTTAACTTTTTTATGAAAAAATAAATGCATTGTTGGTTAAGGGCTGTAAGTAAGCATTTCACGGTAATGTCTACACCTGTTGTATTCGGCACATGTGGCAAATACATTTTGATTTGATTTGATAGTCAGATAGACAGTGATGAAGAAGAACGCTGGTTGTGACTGGTCCATTAGAAAATGATGTCCCACTATTGACATGTCAGGAGCCGCAATTCATTATGGCCTAATGGAGTTTTAAGTTTGTCTGCATTTGTTAGCTTGCCTGATCAATCCATGGACATTGTGTAGTTGACAAAAAAAGCAGAAGATCAAATTGATGACACAATCAGAGGTCCACCGCATTTCGATCGGGCCTTGCCGCGTTCCCCTCCAAGACACATTTGATTTATACCTCCTTACTAGATGTTCTGATGACACCAGTTCTCTCTTCCCTTAGCCTAATGAGATTCAGTGCTAAATGGTAGTGCTTCTTTATGTCGCATTTCAGCCAGTCACGGTGGGGTTTGAGATCTGGGTCATAATTGTCTCCTGGGGTTGCCTGGCTCTCCCTCATAGGATGATAAATTGAGGTGATGTCTGTGTGGTCTGTCTCACCCACGGCAGTATGGTCTCCTGGGTAAAGGGGGTAGAGTGGCTTGGGGTAGAGTGAGGAGAGGTCTGGTTCTGTCTTCGTAGCCCTGGAGGATCCCTAGGGTCCCACCCAGAACCCCCCAGAGTGACTGGTACTCTGCCACAGTGGAGCTGCCTCAGCTTTCTATGCGGGCTCTCTGTTTGCCTTTCAAAGGAGATACTGTAAATGTCTGTGCATTAGAAGTTAACAGTCATAGTACAGTTGCTTTATTAGTCTCTCTCGCCTGACTTTCATATTGTTACAGCAGAAGGCCAAGATAGCTAGCGAGTATACTGGTTTCTCAGTGTTCTTCAGCCATTTCCTCTCACTGACTTGTTACAGGTTTCAGTTTATCTATCCATTTAGAGGTTGGTTAGCACATTAGTACGTTAGCTGAGGCGCGCACTGATTGGAGTCACCTCGTTAGTCAGTATGTGTTTCACTTGCGCAGGCCCAGCTGGCCCAGTGCATCACTTGGAGAGGAGATGTTGAGAGAGCTACACCTCACGTCAGCTGAACCACTTTAGTTTGAAAGAAGTTTCTGTGTTTCTCCTCTTTGTTTGGCTCCATTTTCTTTTGACACCCTTTCCTAAATTGGTGTGGGTTATTCTTTTAGTTTGTCTTTTCGGAGGCAAACCTTAGTAGGCATCCATAGTGGGTGTCTTTTCAAACCCCTTTTGAGACCCTTTCTGTTTAAGTTTGGTTGTCAAAGGGAGCGACGATATTTTGAGTTTGTCTTATGGGAACGTAACAGACTGAAATGCCAGTTTGTAACAAATGTGATTGAAGGGACATGAAACATTCATTGGCACTGATCACTGCTCCCATTTAGGAGTATAGATGAGCCTGGCCATCTCAGATTAGGACAATGTGGAATGTTAGAGACTTTAATTCTGGGATCAGCAGGATTGAAGAATTACACCAATTAACTGACAATAAGTAGAGTACAGAGTGAAGAGACCCTTACCTATTCTGAAAAAAAAGGTGAAAAAAAAGAAGAAAAAATATTTTCTTTTAAATAAGTTATTGTTGACCCTAAGGGGTGCATCTTGGCATCCCTATCTGCATTTCATTTTCACCGTCTTTGTGTGCATAACACACACACACACACATACACTCACACACACACTCTCGCTCTCTTTTTCTCTCTCTCTCACACACACACACACACACACACACACACACACACACACACACACACACACACACACACACACACACACACACACACACACACACACACACACACACACACATACATACACACACTTGCACGCCTACGCTCACATACATGCACCCATTCACACACATGCATCCACCCACACCCTTCCATTTAAAACATGTCAATTCTATCTACTGTTTAGAGCCTATAAATATTTCAGAATATATTGTCCGTTTTTTTGTACTTTTTTCCATCGTATCTCAAATATAGTAATTTGGTTTCTTATTCTATGAGTTATCATTTCCATACTATACATTTAATTAATTGTTTCTTTCCAATTCCTTATCTGTGGTGCCAGCAGTTTAAGACTGATTCTAGTAATCGTTTTAAGTGCTGTTATTCTCAGAATTCTGAAGAGGTGATTATCAGATTGGAGGACCAGTGCATGAGGGGTTCTTCCCAGGAGTATATGTTCTGTATTTAGAGAAAGTGAGCATTCAAACTTATCATCCAATACGTTGTATACTTAGGTCCAGAAATGATTCAGGACTGGGCAGGAATATAGTATGTGGGTGTGGTTAGCCCTACTCTCCCCACGGTTACCCAGCAACTTGGTGTGATGTCACGGTTGTACTTTGATTGTATTTGAAGAGTTATGAAAAATCTTGACTGAGTTTTCAGAGAGTATTCCCTCCAGAGTAGAGAGTTGGTTGTCTTGGACGTGTTTCTAGATACTGTATGTCCTCCCAGTCTTCTTGGGTTATTACTATTTGCAGCTCGTCTTGCCAATTGGTTACAGCTATAATATTCTCATATTTTGTTTCTTCTTTGATGTTTCAGTATATGTGCCCCAGCACATTCTTGGCATTTACCTTTCTATAAGTCTTCGTTTTGATTTCTAATCAAAGGATGTATATCATTAAGCGTTTTATTAGGTCCCACTGCTTTAGTAAGATAACATCTTACTTGTAAGTAATTGTAAAACTGAGATTTCTGGAGGTTGTATTTTTTAAAATATATATTCTCAAATATATCTATCCCCTTGTCTGTGAACATCTGATGGTAACTGGTCAGTCCTTTTTCAGCCCATAATTTAAATCTATCACCAATCATACTTGGCTTAAAGTCGCCGTCTATTACAATTCCTCACATCTGTTTGGATGCATTTTATTTTGGTGATATTTGTCCAGGCCTTTATAGTGTTATTTATACAGGTATTTTCGATCTTCCTAGCGTGTGTATTGATTGACTTCATAAATGTAGTTGCACTTATTGGTTTTTTCATTTGTTGGATTTATATCTGTCTCCATTTAGCTGTTGATGCCAGGTTCATCCATACAATAATTTATTTTAGTTGGGTGGCTATATAATAATTTAACAAGATTGGTAGTTCTAGTCCCCCTGCTTGTTTACATTGTCTGATTGTTGAAGTTTGACACTGGCTTTTCTTCCTCCCCAGAGGAATTTACTCAGGAGTTTGTCCCACTGTTTAAAAGTGTAAGGAGTAATAGTTATTGGTAGATTCTGGAACAGGAATACAAATCTTCCTGTTATTGATAAAGGCACTAATGTCCACCTTTGTAGGTCCTGTTTAAGCTGGTTTTCCAGTGTTCCAAAGTTATACTGATGTAGTTTTGTCAGGTCTAAGTATTTCAGTTAACTTAGTTTTGAAGTCTTGGAATATTGGTGGACCTACCGTCATTGCTTCTGATTTCCTTGTATTTAGTCTGTATCCAGATACGACTCTGTATTGCTTTATTTTGGTGGGAACTGTTTGAGGAATATTTGTTAAGTAGAGAGTCACATCGTTTGCGTACATTGCTAATTTGTGTTCTTTCTTATCGATCTTTCCTTTTCTTTTTATTGTTTTATTTATTTAAATGTTGTTATTTATTTATCCTATTCTATATTTAACCAGATGAGTCCTATTGAGATGTGCATCTCTCTTTCTCTTTTTCAATCTCTCATCTGTCATGTAGAACCCAAACTGAATTAGACCAATTAACTAACAAGAAGTAGAGTTAAGAGTAATGATCCCTTTTCTGTTTCTGTGTTCTAGAACCCAAGAATGACCTGTTCCTGTTCTATGGTAAGGGTCGGCCAGGGGTCATCCGAGGCCTGGACATGAACGTGAAGTCCAGTGATGAGCACATGGTACCGATTGAGGACCTGGTCAACCCCAGAGCCATTGACTACCACGCAGAGTCAGAACACATCTACTTCGCTGACACCACCAGTTTCCTCATTGGCCGGCAGAAAATAGATGGGAACAGCCGGGAAACGATACTCAAAGATGGTGGGTTTATTTTGTGTTATATTTCTATGCAACATCCTTATTAATGTATCCTTGATCGCAGGAACTCTTTAATGGATTTTTGCATTATAGATCTTTGTGACTAGTACCAGTTATTGTAATGACAATAACGCCCTTTCTGCATCAGTTAATATACTTTCTAAATTATCCATTTATATTGAAGAAAAACAAGAAATGCAAGTAAGGGGAAGATAGCACTAACATTGGTGTTCCATCACCTTGTAGACCTGGACAACGTTGAAGGGATCTCTGTGGACTGGATTGGTAATAACCTCTACTGGACCAATGATGGATACAGGAAAACTATTAGTGTGGCCAGACTGGAGAGGGCCTCTCAAACCAGGAAGACTCTTCTGGAGGGGGACATGTCTCACCCCCGAGCCATCGTATTGGACCCCCTCAACAGGTGAGCTCACTGAAGACAAGGCCAAGTCATACAATACCTAGAGTATGTGTTACTAATGCACTGATATGTGCACATACTGTATCTATTCAGGGATTGAAATGTACACACAAAAAGAGAATATGCACAGCTCTCTAATCCTATGTGATGTTGGTTATAAAGAAACAAACAAACACCCAGTAAAAGGGTGAGGGATATTATTGTCTTCTCTGGGTGTTACAGTAGAGAAACATATAAAGCACACAATCCTTCTAGCCCCTTTCTGAACTCAAAGCAATGGCATTTCCTAGCAAGTAGTGAAGAACAGGTAATTCCTGGAAAGAGTTGGCTATTGTCAGCTCTTTGGGTACGCATGGGAGGTCTGTCTCTGTTTGGACGGCCATACAGAACTACTAAACCATGCTGTCACTGACCATGGAGATGGAATTATTCTATTTATGTGTCTTTGACATACTGATTCCTTCCCAGAAATAGCTAGTACAGTATTGCACTAACCTGATTCCTCCCACATTGTCAGGGGGTTTAATTTATTTTCTTTGTTATCATAACGGAGGAATAATCTCTTTAACCACTGACCTTCCCATTGACAGTTGGCACATCTTTATTAAAATGTTGTTTGGGGTCGTCAGTGAGCATTGGCCGATACATCAGCAGAACCAGAAATCTTTATGTGCCCTGCAGGATGGGTCTCGTCAGGTGAAATGGCTGTTTTTTAAGATCCTGTTCTGTTCACCCCAGCTATATTTCCCTCTCTGCATGTCACCTCCAGTCTGTGTTAACATGATAGGGATTCACTTTGCTGACATACTGTCTCAATCACTTATTTTTCTTTATTTTAAATGTTCTTTCCCTATCAGTCTCTCTCTCTCTCGCACATACACTCTCTTGCACGCATGCACTCTCGCTCTCTTTTTCTCACACACACACACACACACACACACACACACACACACACACACACACACACACACACACACACACACACACACACATACACACCCCACACACACAAACACACACATCCTTTTGCTTTGGATATTTGATTTAGCCAAGCAGTGAAGGCTGTGGTGTGTGTGTTGAATTATTCAATGGGTCATGAAGATGACATGCAGAGAAAGACAGTGCTTGATTCACCCTCAATCACATTCTGTTTTATGTACCGCATGTGTAGCGGGCAACTCCATCATAGATGAGACAGAAAAGGGTGTGCAGCCCCGCCAGCAACGCTCAGAGGATACAAATCCCTTAAACATGGTTATTGGTCACTAGAGACTAGATCATGTAAAATCGTTTACCTAATCACTTTTCAAATATCAGTCCATTGGGAATACCTGAGTGAACCCCTGAAAAGCTATTGATGCAGACCAGGACCTGGTTTCTGATGTGAGGGGCTAGTAGATGGACTTGTGGATGACTGTATATGGTGTATGTTGAATTGGGTAGGTTTGAATCAATGTTTATATTGTGTGTGTTGAATTTTACATGTTTGATGGTAAAAACAGATTTTATCCCCAATTAATATGGTCCATTAGGGCTTCCCCCCCCCCCGTAGACTCAATTGTAAGGAATGTATTATGTTTGTGAATTTCAGTTGGATGTACTGGACGGACTGGGAGGAGGATGAGGTGAACGACAGCATAGGAAGGATAGAAAAAGCGTGGATGGATGGATCTAACAGACAAATATTTGTCACATCTAATATGCTGTGGCCCAACGGCCTTACCTTAGACCATGGGACCAGCACCATGTACTGGTGTGATGCCAACTATGATCACATAGAGAAAATCTACCTCAACGGCACTGGCAGACAAGTGAGTGAAGCTGTACTCTAGCGAGCAAAACTCATTGAAATTACATGATTATAGCCAGATAATGATGTAATTTCAACCAGCTTTTCCCACTGGGATATCACCACTGTAGTCTTCAACTAAAATTGTCATAGTTATCTCTGCCATTTCAGTGGTTTGTCTTCCCTCTGCTCTCTGAGGTCTTTGAGTACTGGTGTGCAGGTTGTGTTCTTTCTTTGATAACTGGTGTATCTGATTACTCATGCAGGTTGTGTACAATGGCAAACAGCTGAACCATCCGTTTGGGATTTCTCACTACCGGAACTCCATCTTCTGGACAGAGTACATGAACGCTTCTGTCTTCCAGCTGGATCTAACCTCTGGGGACGTTACTCTGCTGAGGAGTGAGAGGCCTCCCCTGTTTGGCCTGCATGTGTACGATGCTCAGAGTCAGCAAGGTCTGTCTGACTGCTTTTACTTTCCCATCCCCCATCACTAAAGCTTACCTTCGGAGAATGCAGTCTATGGAATCTTATATAGCTGTTCCTACAACTTAGCACAAAACCTCCCCCACCATTACTAAAGCTTGCCTTCACAGAATGTTATGGTTAGCCCTGATGCTTATATATGCAAACTTCAAAATTTTTTTAACAATCTATCTACAATGGTATCTTATATAGCTGTTAGTATAATGAAAACAACATACTCCATCGTGGGAATTATATTTCATGTCATGGGTAAGTTGTTGGATAAATTGACAGTGGCAGCAATTTTACTTTGAATTCCAATCTATGGAAATAAAAGAGTGACTCAACATAGTGCTCCCTGCTGTCTGTGTGGTGGATGATGATAGATTCCTGTTGTGGGTAGATGAATAGATAACATCAGAGAGAGATGCATGATGCGCTTTGTTGATGGTGCAGAACTGTAGGGCCTCTCAGCAGGTAGAACCCTTGTTATCCTGGTGGTGAATAACTGTTTAGAGTTTAGACTAATGTGTGTGTGGAGCAGGGGGAGGCGTGATTAGGGTCATCTCCTCTCAGAAACAGAGAGAAGTACCAACACTAATCATCTGCTGGGCAATCAATGGATCAAGATAAGGGGCATTTTGAGACGATTCACTGCTTAAGGGCTTTTCATTTGTGTAATCATTTCTATCGTTTTACATCAAAATAATACAGTTCGTTAGAGTGATGTAGGACTTTGGTATGCCAAACATGTGATGCAGAGAAAGAGTGAGAGGGAGAAAACGGCTGGCTGTATATGAGTTCTAATTCTCAGCATGGGTAAAAAATATTTTCACTGGCCATTCCTCCAAAGCTCATGTCACCAAAGAGATGAATTGTCTCTGCTGTCCTCTGAGTTTTACTGATTGGCTCTCACAAAACAGAAGCCTTTATCTCATTGGCTCAGGCACTGCCTTTGGACTTGACACTAAACCAAACAAACAATGTTCTCCATGCCTCAACTTTATAAGTGACAGTTTCTTCACACAAATTCTGTTTTTTTGTTCTCTCTCCCTTGAGAACGGTTCGTGTTGTCCTAAAAGACAAACTGTTCCCTTGAAAGGATACAACTGTCAAATGGCTCATCTCCACAATGTCCCCAATAATTTGTTTGACATGTGGTTATACACTAAATATACAAAAGTATGTGGACACCCCTTCAAATTAGTGGATTCGGCTATTTCAGCCACACCTGTTGCTGACAGGTGTATAAAATCAAGCACACAGCCATGCAATCTCCATAGACAAACATTTGCAGTAGAATGGCCTTACTAAAGCGCTAAGTGACTTTCAACGTGGCACCGTCATAGGATGCCACCTTTCCAACAAGTTTGTCAAATTTCTGACCTGCTAGAGCTGCCCCAGTCAACTTTAAGTGCTAAGTGGAAACGTCTAGGAGCAACAACGGCTCAGCCACAACGTGGTAGGCCATACAAGCGCACAGAACGGGAACGCCGAGTGCTGAAGTGCGTAGCACGTCAAAATCGTCTGTCCTCGGTTGCAAACTGCCTCTGTAAGCAATGATTTTGTCGGGAGCTTCATGAAATGGGTTTCCATGGCCAAGCAGCCGTACACAAGCCTAAGATCACTATGCGCAATGCCAAGCGTCGACTGGAGTGGTGTAAAGTTCGCTGCCATTGGACTCTGGAGCAGTGGAAGCGCGTTCTCTGGAGTGATGAATCACGCTTCACCATCTGGCAGTCCGACGGACAAATCTGGTTTTGGCGGATGCCAGGAGAACGCTACCTGCCTGAATAGATAGTGCCAACTGTAAAGTTAGGGGGAGGAGGAATAATGGTCTGGGGCAGTTTTTCATGGTTTGGGCTAGGCCCCTTAGTTCCAGTGAAGGGAAATCTTTAATGCTACTGACATTCTAGATGATTCTGTGCTTCCAACTTTGTGGCAACAGTTTTTGGAAGGCCCTTTCCTGTTTCAGCATGACAATGCCCCCGTGCACAAAGCGAGGTCCATACAGAAATGGTTTGTTGAGATCGGTGTGGAAGAACTTGACAGGCCTGCACAGAGTCCTGACCTCAACCCCATCGAACACCTTTGGGATTAATTTGAACGCCGACTGCGAGCCTAATTGCCTAACATAAGTGCCCGACCTCACTAATGCTCTTGTAGCTGAATGGAAGCAAGTCCACGCAGCAATGTTCCAACATCTAGTGGAAAGCCTTCCCAGAAGAGTGGAGGATGTTATAGCAGCAAAGGGGGGACCAACTCCATATTAATGCCCATGATTTTGGAATAAGATGTTCGATGAGCAGATTTCCACATACCTTTGGTCATGTAGTGTAGATTATGTGTCACCCACCTGGCACATGCTTCTCAAACAGGAAATGGCTTTTGTGTTATGGAGATATTTTTATGTGCGTTTCTTCACAGTTCACATTGACCTCTGCACAGTTGTTCATAGAGAGATGACGACAGACAGAATAACAATAGAGACACGTCAAAATACAATAATAATGCTTTAGAAGAATATGATTTGAGGTAAACAGTGGTATTATTTTTTTCCTACTCTGTATCCTGCTCTGTATTTCCAGGTGATAATGCATGCAGAGTGAATTATGGGGGATGCGGTACTCTCTGCCTCGCTATCCCAGGGGGCAGAGTGTGTGCCTGCGCTGACAACCAGCTCCTGGAGAAGAACAATGTCACCTGCTCAGGTACTGTAAAACCATGCAGTGAATCAGCCAGAGCAGTACATTGCACTGTTGACAAACTAAGAAATTAACATTGTTTTCCCTCACCAATATTTTTGTGTGATTTCAGTGTAAAGTATGCTTTACTTTTCAATGGACTTCATTCCACTGTGGTTTAATTTGTCTCATGTCTGTTTCTCTGTTATTAATGTTATTTCTCTGTTATGTCTGTTAATTAAGTGTCATCTGGGGTGGTGGAGCCACAGCTCTGTAAGAGCGATGAGTTTCAGTGTCGTAACCATCGCTGTATCCGTGCGTCATGGAAGTGCGACGGGGATGATGACTGTCTGGATGGGAGTGACGAGGAGACCCCTAGTTGCTGTGTGTATTTATCTGCCCCCCCCCCCCCCCCCCCCCCCCCACACACACACACACACACAAACACACACACACATCACTTAGCATGCAACATTGCACACAATTATATTTTCTTGCTATCAACTTTTATCTCGCTAAATGTCATTGATATGATTCAAAGATGGTGAATATGGCCCCCTTCCCCACTTTTCTTCCCCTCATCTATTCGCCTCAGAAGAGAATTTGCTGTTGAGTTGATCGATAAGATAAACACCATGTTAGACGCTTGGGTGCTGACTCATTTCTCACTATGAAAAATCCTATAATGTAATCTTCTGCCAGAATTATCAGAATTGCTAAATCTATTATCTGCTCTCCTGGAATGTCAGCATGGTTTTTCAAAGGGTTCTCCTATGGGGACAGCCAAATAACCCTTTTAGATTTTAGATAGCATCTTTTTTTCTAATAGTGTATAACAAGGTTTGAGACATTCTCTGACCCAAATTCCTGCTTTGCATTGCTGTCTGTCATTCTCTGTGGTTTGTACTGTACCTCTGATTTTTGTGAGGTCAAGGTTGGACTCTGTAAATGTCAGATTTGTAAATCCTTTAGAAGGCAAATTCCATTCCACAAATACGTTCAACTAGGACATTTTTAAAACAAAAAACCTTGCTTTGGTAATATGAGTGTCTCTGTCTATCTGTTTCAGTGAACCACAGTTGTCCCATAGACCAGTTCAAGTGCCTCAACAATCGCTGCATCCCTAAGAGATGGCTGTGTGATGGAACCAATGACTGTGGGAACAATGAGGATGAGTCCAACACCACATGTTCAGGTAACTGATTCTCAGATCTGCAGTCTAGCAATTGTGTTATGTAGTAGATCTACCTGGCGTTTTCTGAGCTATGTAAATATATTGATGTGGTACATTTCAGTTATGCAGTTGGACTGTGTATGGTAAAAAAAAAACGAACCTCTACCCCCTTAAAAACTCTTCATTGGCAGATAGGTTTCAGCACTTCAAAGCATCAAATAGCAACATTCCTAGTTGTGTCTTATGGCACTAAACAGGCCAGCAGCAGTGTGATCAATCTCATGTGAATGCTCAGAATCAAATAAGTTTAGCACTCTCAAGAGGTAACTTTATCTGCTATTGAGTTAGTGTCAGAATCACTTATGTCTGACCCTGCAGAAGTGTTTGTTTTTCACAATAACAGATCTTAGCCTTCCAGGATCAATCAATGGATATCAGTGGGGGTGATTAATGTTGCCTTGTAATCAGATAGACATGCATGTTACACAGCACCAACCACCTCGTATGCTGGTGCTGCTGTCCTTGCATGTCTGTCTCTGTCATGGATATAGAGTACATGTGACTGAAAGGTTTGTGTAAGGGCTCCGCTCGTTTCCACCAGACTTGATATATGTGATATATCTGTGATGGAGAGATCAATTTAAGCTCCACAGGCCTGACATTGACATGCCATATGATTGAATGATCATTAGGGGGCTGAACACGTCTAGCTTTGACTTGATACCCATGTGATTGAATTACAAATGCTCTTCTGTCTTCCATGTCTCTTTCTCTCTCTCTTTCTCTCCCTCTCTCAGCCCAGGCCTGTCAGCCCATCCAGTTCTCCTGTCGGAACGGACGCTGTATCCCCCAGTCCTGGCGCTGCGACCGGGACGACGACTGCGGGGACATGTCCGATGAGACATCCTCCTGTGGTGAGTCAGACTCTGAATCTGCATTCTATGGCACTGAAACCAGTCGAGAAACTTGTATTTTGTTTTATACATCTTCCCCCATTGACATCGATGCATGATTTAAATGATCGTTAAGTGAGTGAGCATCTCAAGTTAGGTTTCGGCCCTAAAAGAGTATTCATACTGAAAGGACCTTGTAGACCTGTTAACACAATAGACCACACACTCTCTCTGGGAAGCCACAGTGTAAAGGAAAGTGCAGGGTTTATAAATGGCAAGAGAGGCTTTCAAAGAAGAAGATGTGGCCACTTTTATGATGACACTGACAGTTCTGAAGATTCTATTGACCACATCCCCAACCAAAAGGACATACCGCTGTGAGCTGTAGCTCAAAGGAAATGGTTCAGTGGAAAAGACAGCTCGGCCTGTAGTGACCTAACTACACCAGAGAAGCCTTAAAAACATTGCAAAAAATATATAACCTCCTGGTGAGACAACTGAATGCTATCTTGGCTATTTGAACTCTTGATGTGTGTTATTGTCTAGTGCACAGCAGCCGGTTGCCTATATTTCTCTCAAAGTATAGCTTAGTGCTTTCCTCGTTCTTACTGGAGATAAAATGTTTGGTCTTAGCTCCTAGTTTTTGGGAACTAAAATCCAAAATCCACTTGAACAAACAAATATCCGCTTGATCAAACACAGGTTTTTGAATACCATTACTGAGCAGACTATTGGGTTAGCTTTGAGTTGGCATAGTATTGGTTGTGAAGGGGTGCATGAGTGTACCAGTGTGCTTATTATTGGTTGACCAGTAGTGCTGTGAAATAAGAATAGAGATATTATAACATGTCCTTGGCATCTGACACTGGCATCTGTTTTCATGCGGTTTCCCCTAAATCTAATTTTTTGACAAGAATGTCCGTTAGAGACATTTCTTAATTTACTAGGTCCTTGAATACTTTCTTGTCTCTCTTGTTTCTCTCACTTACTTCATTCATGTAAGAAGTGAGTTTTAGCAGTTAAATTATTGAATAGCCGTGAGTCCTCTGGGCCAGGAGCTCAGCATTCACTAACTCACTGTTCTAACTTACAATTAGAAAGTTGCTGCCAAATAAGACATAGCATAATTTTTTATTATTGCAGAATTACAGGATCTATCAAGACGGATATCAAACTAAGTTTTAGTACATGTCATTTTAATGACCTAACAGTTTATTTAGTTTTCATATGTTAGACTTTATTTCTGTATGGTACTCTGTTCAAATCTGGCAACTATACTTTTGTGACTCGTTCAGAGGGAACTTTCCTGGCCATAAATTCTGTATTTAGTGATGTGAGGTAGAAATAGTATTACTCAAAAAGTGCAAAAGAGGGGGGGGGGGACATCTTTAACCTCTTTGATGTTAAGTCCCCTATTAAGGAGACTTTGAGAGGTTCTGGACTGGCTCCGACTGACATTTTGGTGTACAAAGCGCTCTGTGAACGTCACTTCACAACCCACATTTGCATAGAGAGTGACGTGTAACATTTCCTGGTCTATCCAGACAGCGAATCGATTTGCTCTCCCACAGATCGATGGAGCCCAGCATAGAGATGGCATAAGGACTTGTGGTCCTCTGTAGCTCAGCTGGTAGAGCACGGCGCTTGTAACGCCAAGGTAGTGGGTTCGATCCCCGGGACCACCCATACACAAAAATGTATGCACGCATGACTGTAAGTCGCTTTGGATAAAAGCGTCTGCTAAATGGCATATTATTATTATTATATGAAAGGGGACAGTCTAGCAATTTCAACAATCGTGGTCTCATCTCGCTCTGATATTCTCAGCGAGATTTAGAGTTCTCAACATGAAAAAATACTAAATCACTTTGTATAATTGAAACACAACCACTTTCTGTTGGTCACAGAGGGATGCAATCACTTTGTGCGTAAAACTGAAGTTCTAACGTGTCTGCGAACATTCGAATGGTGTCTCTGCATCGCTCAGAGGAGGCTTGGCAGAAAATGCTCTATCGTCAGTTATATGAAATGGGGCCACATTTCTACTGTCACTTAATACACTACATTGCATCCTATGACAGTGTCATGTTGAATGTCACTGAGCTCTTCAGTATGGGCTATTCTACTGCCAATGTTTGTCTATGGAGATTGCATGGCTGTGTGCTCAATTTTATACACCTGTCAGCAAAGGGTGTGGCTTAAATAGCTGAATCCACCAATTTGAAGGGGGGTCCACATACATTTGTATATATAGTGTATATCAAGATGATAAATTATTCACAGAATTGTGGTAAGAATGTGCTCAAAAAGCTTTGCAGTGTATGATCATATGTATTTACAGTTATAAGAAAGATGAAATCGCACAGTAAGCCATTGATAATTTTATTGTTACTATATTTAGGAAGCATTTCAGTCATTTCAAGCCCTATTCCCCAACTTTTGTTTATATTTTCATATTTTCATAATATTTGTACTACATATTTGAGCTTATATCCTCAAGTGTGAGTACACCTCAGCAATGTATAACTCTTTTTACCAGAAAGGTGAGTTTCAGTCCTTTCTAGAACTATGCAGCATTTCTAGATATTGTTTATGGGCATCTCATGAAAATGAATTACTCTTGGGTATGTCTATTTAGGTGGAAATCTACATTTTTCCGTAACGTTCAACCTCCCATCCCTTCACTGTATGTGGTAAGGATGGCACATAGTAGTCTCTGATGATCAGTGCCAGGCACTGCATAGTGTTGTATCGTCTCCGACTCTCTTTTGTGTGCCTACTAAGCTACTTCAGTACACAGTCACAAACAGCCAGGGTGTAAGCTGTAATTAAAGTTTGTGCTCGGCTTCATTCAATCATAATCAAGCTGTGCTGCAAAACAAATTCTCTCCCATACTGTTGTTTGAGGTTCCTCAGGCATTACTGCTCTGTAGGATTTCCCACAGAGTCTCTGGCAGCTCAATTTGCTCCACTGCAGCGATGGTGGGTTTTAAACACCTGAAGCTCCACACGTCGTGGTGCCGCTGCCATTTGAGATGGATGCTCATTTGAATTTTGTTTGCTAGAAGTATGGTAGTTGTCACCCTGTATGTTGAACCCAGAACCTCCCCTCCATCGACTAGACTGAGAAACTAACTAGACATTATTTATGCATGTTAATATTTATTTTTAATGAGTGTTAAATCTCAACCAGACGGTCGCTGTCGAAGTTAACTAAAATCTAGAAGACGTGTGTGACAAACATTCACTATGTCCTAGCTAATGCCCTAGGTGTCTGTAGCAGTAGGGATTCCAAATAATCAATTAAAATGCAGTCTCTGAGTTCAAACCAAAGTCAATAACGCTCCTGGCCTCCAATGGAAATATCTCAGAAAGTGTTTTACATGTGATGGAAATACAAATGCAGATCACAAGTGTTTAGGTGTTGTCCACATCCATATGCCCAGATTCACGTTGACACTATTAGTGGGTGGAATATTTAGCCACCAGTACCATCAGCAGCAGTTAGAGAAATTGAGCAGTGGTGTCTCTTTGACCACACTGGAAGAAGTAAGGAGCAGATATTGGTTAATTACAGAGGTGTTAATTGGTTTTGAGCAGGCATCTAGCAGAGTCACTGTCTGTCAAAGCAGCACTAGCTGGTGTGTTTAGGTGCTTAACTCCCAATGGGAAAACTGTTTGTTGTTGTGCTGCCACTGCTGCTCTCTGTCATCAATCAAGGCAGCGATTATTTCTCTACATTATTTTGGATTAACCAAAGGCAAACATCTGGAGACGTATCATGTTTGTCTCTGTCTCCAATTCAATTTGGTATTTCATGTTTTTGTCTTAAAGCCTGAATCCGTATTTTTTGCAGATCTCATTGATCAGACTTAATTATGAGTTTTGATCAGTTTGAATGTGATTTGAAGCATTTCTTAGAATCCTAGATTTTCTACCTGAAAACAAGCATCATAGTTTATTTTCTAACAAATACAGTACACATAATGACCTTTCCAAAAGGTGCATGCAAATTAAGGGTGCCATTTACAACAGCCACACTTGCATGCAACACCTCCAGTATTAGAATATTTGTTAGCCATATTTCCATGAATTTCAATGTGTTTAGCATAACATTCAGTGTTGTGTTGAGGTAGCTCTTTTTAACTTGCTTGGGAATTTATTTCAACCTGCAACACACATATAATAGGGGTTAGTACAGGGCTTGTCTTAAGGGTGTGCTATTGACTACACACAAAGCAAGATATACTGTTGAGAAATGAGTTGGAATGGAGTGTTTGTAAGGAGTTTTAGACCTAATGTATTTTCAGAATAAATGTGGCCATATGGGTTTGGGCTTTAAATAACTGTAGTTGACTGTCTCTTTGCTTTTATGTCTACAGCATTGCCGACCTGTGAACCCCTCACCCAGTTCAGCTGTTCCAATGGGAGATGCATCAGTGTCAAGTGGCATTGTGATTCAGGTACTTTCCTACTGAAAACCTACAGCAGTGTTTCCTCAATGACCATCTTTGAGAATCTGGTATGATTGTAAAGGGCTTCAACAAAAATATACAACTTTGAGGTCAGAATACTCGAGGACAGGAGTTGAAAAACACTGAGCTACTGTACATTTCACATTTCACATGCACCTTGTATAACCCACAACCTTGAAATCAACCACAATCTCCTTATATAACGAAAGTGGTTCGGAAAACCACACTCATCCCACTGGGCGCACCACGTACTTTCAACATGGATATTTGGGTAATATTTGGTTGAGACGTTGATCAATGAGATTTCATCCTTTATTCACCCAATCAAAAAGACAGCCAGAAGTTTGTTGAATTCTCAATGTGTTATCACTATGCTTTCAACCATCTAAAAGCACAACCAAATTCCAATGGAAAAACAATGTCCGATTGTTTTAGTTGTCATCTAAATGTGTTATCACTGGCGCGCTGTCAAGCATTTGAGAGCACAAAAGGTTAAAATGGGAATACAATATCAGATATATGTATTTGATATTCATACAACAACTTTATGTGTAATCTGTGCTTCATCTAATAGCACAACCAAATGTCCTGGATTGCAGTTGAGATTACAGTAGAAGTACATAGTGCAACTGATCAATGCTGTTCGAGATTCTGCACAGATTATTTTAGCAATTGTATTTGTTTTGGATTTATTATGGACCCCCATTAGCTGCTGCCAAGGGGTCCAGCAAAATGAAGGCAGTTATACATTTTAAATACATTCATAACAGATTTCACAACATATTAAGTGTCTGCCCTCAGGCCTCTACTCTACTACCACATATCTATAACACAAAATGTGTGCGTATGTTATCGTGTGTTTGTATGCATGTGTCTATGTTTGTGTTGCTTCACAATCCCCGCTGTTCCATAAGGTTTATTTGTATCTGTTTTTTAAATCTAATTTTACTGCTGGCATGAGTTACTTGATGTGGAATAGAGTTCCATGTGATCATGGCTCTATGTAGTACTGTGCGCCTCCCATAGTCTGTTCTTGACTTGGGGACTGTGAAGAGACCTCTGGTGGCATGTCTTGTGGGGTATGCATGGGAGATTGACTTCATCACTGCTTTTTTTTGTAAGAGGTGTTGAGATGTTGAATGCACCGAGCGGTCTGTTTGAACTACTGGCTCACAGCTCGGTGCATTCAACATGTCAACACCTCTTACAAAAAAAAAGCAGTGATGAAGTCAATCTCTCTTCCACTCTGAGCCAGGAGATATTGACATGCATATTATTAATGTTAGTTCTTTGTGTACATCCAAGGGCCAGCCGTGCTGCCCTGTTCAGAGCCAATTGCAATTTTCCTAAGTCGCTTTTTGTGGCACCTGACCACACGACTGAACAGTAGTCCAGGTGCGACAAAACTAGGGCCTGTAGGACCTGCCTTGTTGATAGTGCTGTTAAGAATGCAGAGCAGAGCTTTATTATAGGCAGACTGTTGTATCAATATGTTTTGACCATGACAGTTTAGAATCCAGGGTTACTCCAAGCAATTTAGTCTCCTCAACTTGCTCAATTTCCACATTATTCATTACAAGATTTAGTTGAGGTTTAGGGTTTAGTGAATGATTTGTCCTGATTCTACCTGGATTTTGTTGGAGAGGCTTCCATTAAAGAACACCCTCTGTGTTCTGTTAGACAGGTAACTCTTTATCCACAATATAGCTGGGGGTGTAAAGCCATAACACATCTGTTTTTCCAGCAACAAACTATGATCGATAATGTCAAAAGCCGCACTGAAGTCTAACAAAACAGTCCCCACAATCGTTTTATCATGAATTTCTCTCAGCCAATCATCAGTCATTTGTGTAAGTGCTGTGCCTGTTGAATATCCTTCCCTATACGCGTGCTGAAAGTTTGTTGTCAATTTGTTTACTGTAAAATAGCATGTTATCTGGTCAAACACAATTTTTTCCAAAAGTTTACTAAGGGTTGGTAACAGGCTGATTGGTCGGCTATTTGAGCCAGTTAAGGGGGCTTTAATATTCTTAGGTAGGGGAATAACTTTTGCTTCCCTCCAGGCCTGGGGGCACACACTTTCTAGTAGGCTTAAATTGAAGATATGGCAAATAGGAGTGGCAATATCGTCCGCTATTATCCTCAGTAATTTTCCATCCAAGTTGTCAGACCCCGGTGGCTTGTCATTGTTGATCGACAATAATACATTTTCACCTCTTCCACACTTACTTTACGGAATTCAAAATAAAAATTATTGTCTTTCATAATTTGGTCAGATATACTTGGATGTGTAGTGTCAGCATTTGTTGCTGGCACATCATGCCTAAGTTTTCTAATGTTGCCAATGAAAATATCATGAAAGTAGTTGGCAATATCATTGGATTTTGTGATGAATGAGCCATCTGATTCAATGAATGATGGAGCGGAGTTTGCCTGTGACCTGCGATCTTTGCATGCTATCTTGAACATGCACACTTCCTATGATTACATAAGAAGAAATGTATAGTTACAGTAAGCGAGCCTTAACTTTAGGCTAATAACTGTATTACAATAGTCATATTGAATTGTGTTTGGTTGCCTTCAGAACGTATTCACACCCCTTTACTTTTTCCACATTTTGTTGTGTTACAGCCTGAATTTAAAATGGATTAAATTGAAATTTTGTGTCACTGGCTTACACACACACACACACAAAAAAAAAAGAGAACCTGTACAGAATAAAAAATATTCCAAAACATCCTGTTTGCAATAAAATAATGTGGTAAAGAAAGTAACATTATGTCCTGAATACAAAGTGTTATGTTTGGGGCAAATCTAACACAACACATTACTGAGTAACACTCTTCATATTTTCAATCATGGTGGTGACTGCATCATGTTATGGGTATGTTTGTGAAGGACTAGGTAGTTTTTTAGGATAAAAATAAATGGAATAGAGCTAAACACAGCCAAATCCTAGAGGAAAATCTTGTTCAATCTACTTTCCAACAGAAACTGGAAGACAAATTCAACTTTCAGCAAGACAATAACCTAAAACAGAAGGCCAAATATACGGTACACTGGTTGCTTACCAAGTTATAGTTTTGACTTAAATCGGCTTGAAAATCTATGGCAAGACTTGAAAATGGCTATCTAGCAATGATCAACAACCAATTTGACAGAGCTTGAAGAATTTTACAAGTAATCATGTGCAAATATTGTACAATCCAGGTGTAATCGCTGCCTAAGGTGATTCTAACATATATTGACTCAGGCGTGTGAATACTTATGTAAATTAGATATTTCTGTATTTCATTTTCAATAAATGTGCAAACATTTCTAAAAACATGTTTTCACGTTGTCTTTATGGGGTATTGTGTGTAGATGGGTAATACAATTTTTTTTATCCATTTTGAATTCAGGCTGTAACACAACAAAATGTGGAATAGGTCAAGGGGTATGAATACTTTCTGAAGGCACTGTATCTAATGCTTGGATAGTTTCATCTGAGGCACTGGCTTAATTTTATTAATTTGATAACTTGTCAACGCAACTAAATATCAACATTTGTAGGAGATATATTCTGTGCCACTGACTTGCTCTGGCTTTAAATCCAGTTTGTCTACAAATTAATCATTGATATGTTGGATTCACGTCTCCATCTCAACCAAAAATCTAAGTTCACGAATAGGACTTCATCAAATCAAACTTCATTTAAAGTGCATCGAAAGTTTGATTTGATTTCAGTGGAGTGTATTTATGGTTGCCAAGGGAAGCCAGGCATTCTCCAAAAATTTACCAATATTATTATTTTTTAAACATACACAATCATTTGTCTTTAATCTCTCTGTGTTTCATACATTTCCTTCAATTCGCAAGAGGCTGAATGTATCTCACCGGAGAAAGCATCCGAGTGAACTAAACAGCGCCCCTCTGTCTCAGTATCTGTAGCGTATCTAGGCTATCTGATGCTGTCGGGTCAGAAAGAGTAGGACATTGTTGCCGTAGCATTGAATGCAAGGGAAGCCAGCGAGCATTTGGCCTCCCTTGATAAAAAATATGTAAAATAATATCCAAACAGCATTGAGCTAAGCTGTGAATGGTCCTGGCGTACCAAAAAAAAGTATCCAGGGGAAGCCAGTTTGGATTTGACTTCAGACCAATCACATCATAAGCCAAATGTCATTATTGACAGAAAAAAAGTGTAATTCTTGTTTCTCATTGTGTTGTTGTCCTCCGGTTGCTAGCTAGCTAGCTAAAATAGTCCCTTTCCTAAATTAGCCATGGATGGAGATAGGGATTTGGACTTGTGCTTTTACTTACTTCTCCATACTGGCCAATGATTATAACGGCAATTCTGATCCAACCATAAATTCAAACATTGTGCGCCTGGCCTGAGAGGATGGAAGTTCAACATGTAGCTAGATGTAGTAATGTTAATTAGCTGGCCTGGTGCATCGTTGCCCATGAAGGGAAGTTAGGCTAGCAAGCAAGTATTTTAGCCAGGTAGCCTAGGACAACAAAAACTAAAAGCATATACTCTCATAGACCGTTTAGGCAACATGAAAGAGGAGAATGGCATTGGCGTTTCTCTACAAGTAGGGTGAGTCGACATGTTTTTTCTACTTGCACGCACGCACACACTACACACACACAGAAATCAGTACCATGGACAGTCACATCATATTTAGCTTACGTTGATTGGACTAAATCGTTTTTGGTATCTTTTAGTTGTCACTGTATTAGACTAAGCATAGGTGATTAGATGGTGTTGAAATGTTGAAGTTGAAATGGTGCTGGAATAGTGGAGGCAGCTCTTGTTTTCTTTGTGACTTGCGGTAACTCTCTGTGGTTCTAAATCAATAGTTGTTTAGTAGTCCGAAAATGTCGGAAACATTACCTTGCTTGACCATGTTGTAGGTCATGTAACTGTTTGTAATATGGCTTTTTTTATGGATTGGCTTCCCCAGTGATTTTACCTACGCACCGCTACTTATTGATTTATTGCCATTTTTTAACTTAGATTTTTGGTTGAGATGGTGATGTGAATCCAACATATCAATTATTAATTTGTAGACAAACTGGAATTAAAGCCAAAATAAGTACATCTCCTACAAATGTTGATACTTGGTTGTGTTGACAACCAAACACAATTCAATAACCAGTTTGTCTACAAATTAATAATTGATGTTGGATTTTTTTTATCCATCTCAACCAAAAATTGAAGTTAAAGAATAGGACTAAATCAAATCAAACTTTAAATGCACTTTACATAGAGTTTGATTTGATTTACTCCTATTCTTTAACTTTAACTTTTGGTTGAGATGGAGACATGAATCCAACATTTCAACTTCAGTTGAACCCTGGGTTGAATTGAAACAATAGCTGTTGATGACTTCACAAATGCTATATACTGTAGGCCTAAATAGTATAATTGATGATAGATTACTTATAAATTATGGTTACATTTAATTTGCTCTGGTAGACCTACCCTTTGGAATGACTTCGCGACAGTGAATCTATTTTGTTATTAAGTGGAGCTCTCTCAATAATCATTCTCACAATTGCACATGGTAATAGTCAGTGAGAAATATCAAAGCTAAGCAGGGCTGAACTTGTTTAAAACCCTGGATAGGAGACCAACGGAATAACTGTAGATATATCAACTCTCCAGTAAGAGGTGCTGCCCATCCTATCATTTATTTTTTCTGATAGTAGATATAACGTTGAAAGGTCCAAATTCAACATATTTTATACACGGTTTGTCTATGTTGAAAATTGGTTACCATGATGACATAATCCTGTGGTTGAACATTCACCCTCAAAACATGTTGATTACTTTTTTTCAAATCCAATGTATTTCCCACGTCTCAATACTTTGACAAATTAAAATTGAAACAACGTTGATTCAACCAGTTTGTGCCCAGTTGGATGTGACGAGTACGGTAACATTGCCTGATACGTGAAGACTTCTGTGACCTCCCCAAGCGAATGCATAGGCTTTAGCTCAGCATGCTAACACATTCTTATGACATGAAGGAGTCAAACCTAGTCAGTCACATTTGCTATTTTTTTCTCTGTGTCCCCAGATGATGACTGTGGAGATGGTAGTGATGAGGTGAGTTGTGTCCACTCCTGCTCCAACACCCAGTTCCAGTGCTCCAGTGGGAGATGTATTCCAGACCACTGGGCCTGCGATGGGGACAATGACTGTGGAGACTTCAGTGACGAGAACACCACCTGTGGAGGGTCTGAAGCTGGTGAGAGAAACCATGCTGTTATTTGTAATTCCTGTATCATAGCACTTTTTGTTAGCAATTACAAGATTATGTGCCCACAATTAAGAAAAAACATGCTGCTCATACTATTACCATGAATTCATAATGCAAATTGACCTTCATAAGTGATAGTGTCATCCCTCATTTTGAACTTTGCACTAAGTATCATGTTAACTATCCCAACATCGTGGGTAGATGCTTTCAAGGCGGGCTAACTACTCTTCATCATTACTGCACATGCAGCAATGAGCGTAACTATTAATAATTCAATTGGCATTTAAATCAGTAGAAAGAAAAAAGAAAAGATAATGAGTTCAAAGTAACTATTAATTGGGCTGGTCTAATGTCCTTAAGTCTTCATCCTCCTCTCTCAGCTCTCGCTCTGCTGATCTAATCGCATCTACTGTTCACAAGAGTACAACATCAAGATTTGAATCTTTTAATCGGTTATAATTACCTCAGAAAGCTGAGCCGAGCCCGGGCGGCTGAAATACTCACAGCTCACTACCTTGTCACTAGAATGAGGAAGCTATTCATCAAACCGTATCCTGATGTCCAGCCCCAGCTCCAGACTTTTCCTTTCTACTCTAATACAGTGTAGTGTTGTTGTGTTGTGGTCCACCGCTGGTGTTACAGCTCTGGCTCGGCAGGCCCTGACTGTTATGGAAATACTTCTGATCTCTGATTTCAGATTTTTTCTTTTTTTCTTGGCAATGTGGAAATGGTTACGTTGAATACAGTTGGTCTTGTAACTACCTAGCATGATTAAAAATAACATTTGAACGATCAATCATACATATAATTTAACCATAGCTTTGAATGGAATAGCATAGAATAGAATATACATAACACGATATTGTCAAAAGTTTGCCCACTGTTAACCAATTTTCGCATTCACAGAAGGATTATGTTTAAGTGATAATGCCCGAGAGGCCGGTGTTTGGAGGATATATTGGCACGGGTGTTGTTAGGCCCGAGACGAAGTTGAGGGCTGGCAAACCGTGCCAATATATCTTCCAAACACCAGCTTCGAGGGCATTATCACTTTTATACAGTGGGTTACCAACATATTAAAATAATGATTGACATATTTTCATAAAAACATTTATTTTGATGAATTTATTCATACTATTTAATCCTTCCACAAAATATAGTCCCGACACAAATCTAGGGTTGCTAACCAAGCCGGCTGGTCGTTCATTCTATTGGTTCGGTTGCCAGAGATGCGACCCACTTGTTCAGTCTTTTTGTTCTGTATCTATGGACGCAACCCAGTCGTTCGTTCTAAATGATTTATTGCAATACTGGCTGGCAACGTTCTTATCCCTTGCTTGCTAGCTAGCCAACGACGGCTAACTTACAGTCACGTCAAACAGTGCAGCCAGAACAACAGCAAAGTAGCTGCATTTGTTTAAGCTGTTTTCTAGTGACATTTATTTGGATACATCCATAACAATGAGCTAATGATGCACGATTTCACCTGGCATAGAAAATATGCTCTCTCGTCAGGACTCTGTTGTTAAGAGGAGCTAGCCAACAACACAGCTAACACAATCACTTCAAACTGAAGCTGGAAAGACAGCAAATGAGGGTACATTTCATTTAGTTTGACCTGTTTTCTATTGACATCTCTTTGTATATATCCATAAAATATATGCTGATTCATGATTTCGATTGGCTGAGAAAAGCTGCCAGCTTGTCTGTCTCATCCCGACTCCCGACATGTTTGTTACTATGGGACAGCTGGAGATCGAATTTCAATATCAAAACAATGTTGCAAATGTCGGAGAGACAGACAGCAAAGTTTATACAAATCTCCGCTGTTGAAAATCAAATGCTAGTCTTAAAGAAATAGGATATAATGCCTAGATGCTTTTTATAGTGGAGATCAAGTTTATAAATTGCCTGGCTGGGCTGATGAGACAGTGGATTGCGCAGTAAGATGGAACAGAGTAACTAGACATTTCAACGTCAAAGCTTTAGCCGGTGGTAACTTGTAGAATAGACACAGGTTGGAATGAGGCTTTAACCAATCAGCATCCAGGATTAGACCCACCCGTTGTATAATTATTGATCTATTTTTCCCTTGCAGCGTTGCCTCCTGTGATAGAGTGCAGTGGGGATGAGTTCCACTGTACGGCAGACGGTACGTGTATCCCAGAGCGCTGGAGGTGTGATGGGGACAAAGACTGCGAGGACGGTGGTGACGAGGTGGCCTGTGAGGGCACCAAGAGGATGTGTGACCCCAAGGCCAAGTTCACATGCAAAGACACAGGTAGGATAGAGACTTCTCTCTCAGTAATCGGAACCCAGAACCAAAACTTCCTAGCTAACTCGGTTTGCCTAAGAAAATATTTTGTCTGATGGTAGTGTACGATCTTTGACAATTACATTAATGATAAACTAGAAGCAAAGTTAAAAGGATGCCATTGACCAACATCAAATAGCAGAGCAAGAAACATGTTTAATACACATATAAACTCTAGCCTCACCAACTCTCTATTTAGTACGTCATGGAAATTGCATAGATTTTATAGTACCATCTCTTTCCTCCAGCAAAACACGAGGAAAATAATGTCGCTGGGATGTATAGTGGCCGCTTTGCGGGCTCCTGACCAATTCTGCTATTTTGTGTTTTTTTGCGCTGATTTTAACTTTTTTGTACATAATGTTTCTGCCATCGTTTACTATGAACAAAAAATAGCTCCTGGACATTAGAACAGTGATCACTAAACTCAATGAAGATTTCTACTTCAATGAGTCAGCGGCGAAGGACATAATGCTCAACCCAGACCAGGCCCTAATCCCTGACACTTGGAAGAGAAAGAGACCGCTATATAGAGGCCGACGTGTGGGGACCCTGATGAAACTACAGCGGCGAGTAAATGAACCACCTCTACCCTCTGTTCTATTGGTGAATACACAATCACTGGAGAACAAACTAGACGAGCTCCGTTCAAGACTGTCCTATCAACGGGATCTGAATAACTGTAATATCCTATGTTCCTCGGAAACTTGGCTGAATAAGGACATGGATAATATTCTAGCTGGTTTTTCTATATAATAATAAATAATATGCCATTTAGTAGACGCTTTTATCCAAAGCGACTTACAGTCATGCATCGGCAGGACAGAACGGCAGCGTCGGATAAGCTCAAGGGGGGTGGTGTGTGTCTCTTTGTTAACAACAGCTGGTGCGCAATCACTAATATTAAGAACATCTCAAGGTTCTGTTCACCTGAGTTAGAATACCTCATGAGAAGCTGTAGACCATGCTATTTACCGAGTGAGTTTTCATCTATATTTTTCGTAGCTGTCTATTACCACCAAAAAACGATGCTGGCACAAAGACGGCACTCAGCGAGCTGTATAGGGCCATAATCAAACAAGAAAATGCTCATCCAGAGGCGACGCTACTAGTGGCTGGTGATTTTAATGGAGGAAAACTGAAATCCGTTTTACCAGTATGTCACCTGTGCAACTAGAAGCGAAAAAACTCTAGATCCACACAGACGCATACAAAACTCTTCCTCACCCTCCATTTGGCAAATCTGACCATAACTCTATTATCCTTATTCCTGCTTAGAAGCAAAAACTCAAACAAGAAGTACCAGTGACGTGCTCAATACGGAAGTGGTCCGATGAAGTAGATGCTAAGCTACAGGACTGTTTCGCTAGCACAGTGGAATATGTTCCGGGACTCATCCGATGGTATTGAGGAGTTTACTACATCAGTCACCGGTTGAATTAATAAGTGCATCGCAGTGACCGTACGTCCAGTGTACACATCCCAACCAGAAGCCATGTATTACAGGCAACATCTGCACTGAGATAAAGGCTAGAGCTTAAGCTTTCAAGGAGCGGGACACTAACCTGGATGCGTATAAGAAATCCCGCTATGCCCTCCGACGAACCATCAAACAGGCAAAGCGTCAATACAAGACTAAGATCAAATCTTACTACATCAGCTGTGACGTGCAGAGGATGTGGCAGGGTTTGCAAACTATCACAGATTACAAAGGGAAACCCAGCCACGAGCTGCCCAGTGACGCGAGCCTACCAGATGAGCTGAATGCCTTTTATGCTCACTTCGAGGCAAGCAACACTGAACCATGCGTGAGAGCACTAGCTGTTCAAGACTGTGTAATCACACTTTCCGCAGCCGATGTGAGTAAGACCTTTAAACAGGTTAACATTCACAAGGTCGCTGGGCAAGACGGATTACCAGGACGTGTACTCAGAGCATGCACTGACCAGCTGGCAAGTGTCTTCAATGATATTTTCAACCTCTCCTCACCCAGTTTGCAGAACACCATTGTCTCTGTGCCCAAGAACGCCAAGGTAACCTGACTAAATAAATATCGCCCCATAGTGCTCACATCTGTAGCCATGGAATGCTTTGAAAGGCTGGTCATGGCTCACATCAAAACCATCATCTCATACACCCTGGACCCACTCCAAATCACATACCGCCCCACCAGATCCAGAGATGATGCAATCTCTATTGCACTCCACACTGCCCTTTCCCACTTGGACAAAAGGAACACCTACGTGATAATGCTGTTCATTGACTACAGCTCAGCATTCAACACCATAGTGCCCTCCAAGCTCACCACTAAGCTAAGGACCCTGGGACTGAACACCGCCCTCTGCAACTGGATCCTGGACTTCCTGACGGGAAGCCCCCAGGTGGTGAGGGCAGTCGACAACACATCTGCCACGCTGACCCTGAACACTGGGCCCCCTCAGGGGTGCGTGCTTAGTCCCCTCTTGTACTCCCTGTTCACCCACGACATCGTGGCCACGCAAGACTCCAACACCATCATTATGTTTGCCGACAACACAACGGTGGTAGGCCTGATCACCGACAATGATGAGACAGCCTATAGGGAGGAGGTCAGAGACCTGGCATTGTGGTGCCAGGACAACAACCTCTCCCTCAACATCAGCAAGACAAAGGAGTTGATCGTGGACTACAGGAAACAGAGGGCCGAGCACGCCCCCATTCACATCAACAGGGCTGTAATGGAGCGGGTCGAGAGCTTCAAGTTGCCCTTCCCCCTCACGAGGCTGAAAATATTCAACAGCTTCTACCCCCAAGCCATAAGACTGCTAAATAGTTAGTTAAATAGTTAACCAAATAGCTACCCGAACTATCTGCATTGATCCTTTTTGCACTAACTTTCTTTGACTCATCACATACGCTGCTGCTACTCTTTACTATCTGTCACTCTGTCACTTTATTCCTAGTTACAGTATATGTATGTACATATCTTCTTCAATGACCTCGTACCCCTACACATCGACTCAGTACTGGTACCCTTGTAAATAGCCAAGTTATCGTTACTCATTGTGTATCTATTATTGCTTTTATTATTAGGTGTTTTACTTTTCTATTATTTCTCTATTTTTTTTCTCTCTGCAGTGTTGGGAAGGGCCGTAAGTAAGCATTTCACTGTTAGTCCACACCTGTTGTTTACTAAGCATGTGATTAATAAAATGTTATATGAAATTTGATTTGAAGTGCAACAGAGGTGAATCCAGCTTTGATCGCAGGCCTCTAAATTAGGATGCTCTGTAATCCAGGCTTCACACAGTTAATTAACGATGATACTGTAAATTCTGGCATATCTGTGCCTCTATCCCCTGCAGTTATTACACCGGCTCTGGCTGCGTCTTTGTAACACACATGGCGAGCAAGGGGAATTTGAGATTATCCCTGGTAGCAGGTATCAGGAGGCTGTGTTGATCTAGCTGTGGATTTTCACATGATGTGAAGCATTTAACTCACCACTGTGGCTGTACCTTTCTGTTGATGGACGAAGATTGATTTTTGACACCTCAAAATATCTCAGTATTGCATTACATCATGTAATGTAGTACTGTATGTTCTAGTCTAAACTCATGATACAGTATACTGTGTGTATTTTACAGTCTTTGTAGACTGCAATCACCTCATTCTGTGGAAAAGATTATGATATGTATCATGCTATGCCTAAAATTGCATTCAGGCTGTTGGTATCAATTCTTTATTCGTGATTTAGATGTCAAATAGCTTTTTTTCAAAGTGCCTGAGAGATTATTCACCAAGTTTATTACAGAAGCTTGAAGTTCACTGTGTGGTTATGTTGATTGGTTCCTCTTCAGCATTTGCAGTAGTGTATTCCCTAAGGTTTCTTTTTCAGAGGTTCTACTCGACTGTGTGGAGAGCTGATGATTGGTATTATCTTCTGTATCTGTTTTGGTTGTGTTTATGGATTGTGCGCATTTGTGTGTGTGTGTGTGTATGTCTGTATGTGTCTGTGTACGTGTGTGACACCATCAGGAAAGTGTATCACCAAGAGCTGGGTGTGTGATGGAGATATCGACTGTGAGGATCGTTCTGATGAGGATTCCTGTGAGGCAGCTGTCTGTAAGCCTCCAAAATACCCCTGTGCCAACGACACCTCCACTTGCCTGCCACCAGAGAAGATCTGCAACGGCAAGACCGACTGTGCTGACCAGTCTGACGAAGGGCCTTTCTGTGGTAATAAAGAGAGCTATTATTTTTAGTACACCATATTGCTTGAGACCGTAGAGACAGACTAGTCTGTGGTCTTTCTGCCTAGTTGTGAAGAATCATTCCATTTTTGAAGTGGAAGAGATGTGTTTAGAGCAGTGGTATTTAAACTTTTCCATCTGGGACACCATTTTTCTCGCCAGAATTTCTGGGGACTCCACCCCAAATCTAATGACACAACCTTAAAATATGTAAAGTTTTATTTTCACATAAAGAAATAACTCTTCAATTCATTACATTTTAATCTCTCTAAGACAGTGGTTCTCAAACCTCTCCTCGGGGACCCCCAGACGTTTCAGAATTTGGTTGTAGCTCTGAACTAGCACACCTGATTCAACTAGTCAAGTTGAATAATAATAATAATAATAATAATAATAATAATAATAATAATGATATGCCATTTAGCAGACGCTTTTATCCAAAGCGACTTACAGTCATGCGTGCATACATTTTTTGTGTATGGGTGGTCCCGGGGATCGAACCCACTACCTTGGCGTTACAAGCGCCGTGCTCTACCAGCTGAGCTACAGAGGACCACAAGGGTGTGCTAGCTCTGGAAAATATCAAGTACATGGAATGGCTGGGGGCCCCCCGAGGAGAAGTTTGAGAACCACAGCTCTAAAAGAACCAATACATACATTTACTCAATAACATTGTATTTTCAAATAATCTTTCTCAATAACATATTTTCCCATAAAATAATCTGTACACTTAATGTATTGTTATTTTTTGCCAGCCCCACTGCAATTCCCCGACCCCGACTTTGAATACCACTGGTGTAACGATCATTTTTCTACAGGACATTTTTTTACAACTATCTCACTGAGCCGCCCACCCCAGAGTATACAGGATGTGTTAAGTGTGCAAGTTCTCATTTAACACGCACAGATCCCAGAGACATATGTGTTAGAGTCAACACTGTCTCTCCCTACGGAGTAGTATTATATCTATTCATTCTCATAGCCTTGAGAGCAGCTCGATGATGCGCCAACATGCTGTTTATTCAGAGACCAATGGGACTGGACATAAAGAATAGCTACCAGACTTCTCCAATGATTACCAACACATATATGTTTGTCCAAGGCCCATCGGAGGAAAAATATGTTAATCTCATGTGAATAGTACACATCTAATCCGTTTGACTAAACAATGTAAACATTTCAGAGCACAAAGTGCTTATACAGAAACCCAGCCTAAATTCCCAAACAGCAAGCAATGCAGATGTACAGTGAGGGAAAAAAGTATTTGATCCCCTGCTGATTTTGTATGTTTGCCCACTGACAAAGACATGATCATTCTGTAATTTTAATGGTAGGTTTATTTGAACAGTGAGAGACAGAATAACAACAACAAAATCCAGAAAAACACAAAAATGTTATAAATTGATTAGCATTTTAATGAGGGAAATAAGTATTTGACCCCTCTGCAAAACATGACTCAGTACTTGGTGGCAAAACCCTTGTTGGCAAACAGAGGTCAGACTTTTCTTGTAGTTGGCCACCAGGTTTGCAAACATCTCAGGAGGGATTTTGTCCCACTCCTCTCCTCATTATTTTTTTATATTTTTCATACTGGCCCCCCGTGAATCAAACCCACAACCCTAGCGTTAGAAGTGCCATGCTCTACCAACTGAGGGAAGGAGGTTCTCACCCAAGATTTGACGATACATGGCCCCGTCCATCGTCCCTTTGATGCGGTGAAGTTGTCTTGTCCCCTTAGCAGAAAAACACCCCCAAAGCATAATGTTTCCACCTCCATGTTTGACGGTGGAGATGGTGTTCTTGGGGTCATAGGCACCATTCCTCCTCCTCCAAACATGGCGAGTTGAGTTGATGCCAAAGAGCTCAATTTTGGTCTCATCTGACCACAACACTTTCACCCAGTTCTCCTCTGAATCATTCAGATGTTCATTGGCAAACTTCAGACGGGCCTGTATATGTGCTTTCTTGAGCGGGGGACCTTGCGGGCGCTGCAGGATTTCAGTCCTTCACGGCGTAGTGTGTTACCAGTTGTTTTCTTGGTGACTATGGTCCCAGCTGCCTTGAGATCATTGACAAGATCCTCCCGTGTAGTTCTGGGCTGATTCCTCACCGTTCTCATGATCATTGCAACTCCACGAGGTGAGATCTTGCATGGAGCCCCAGGCCGAGGGAGATTGACAGTTATTTTGTGTTTCTTCCATTTGCGAATAATCGCACCAACTGTTGTCACCTTCTCACCAAGCTGCTTGGCAATGGTCTTGTAGCCCATTCCAGCCTTGTGTAGGTCTACAATCTTGTCCCTGACATCCTTGGAGAGCTCTTTGGTCTTGGCCATGGTGGAGAGTTTGGAATCTGATTGATTGATTGCTTCTGTGGACAGGTGTCTTTTATACAGGTAACAAGCTGAGATTAGGAGCACTCCCTTTAAGAGTGTGCTCCTAATCTCAGCTCGTTACCTGTATAAAAGACACCTGGGAGCCAGAAATCTTTCTGATTGAGAGGAGGTCAAATACTTATTTCCCTTATTAAAATGCAAATAAATGTATAACATTTTTGACATGCGTTTTTCTGGATTTTTGTTGCTGTTATTCTGTCTCTCACTGTTCATATAAACCTACCATTAAAATTATAGACTGATCATTTCTTTGTCAGTGGGCAAACTTATAAAATCAGCAGGGGATCAAATACTTTTTTCCCTCACTGTAGAAGCACAGTGGCTAGGAAAGACTCCATAGAAAGGCAGGAACCTAGGCAGAAACCTAGAGAGGGAACCATCCTTTTCTGGCTGTGTCAGTGGAGATTATAAGAGTACATGGTCATTAAGGCCAGATCGTTCTTCAAGATGTTCAAACGTTCATAGATGACCAGCAGGGTCAAATATAAATAACAGTGGTTGTAGAGGGTGCAACAGGTCAGGACCTTAGGATTAAATGTGGCTATAGCAAATGGATATAGATCTCATTCCGTCAGTAGAGGATGCCTGGTCGTTCTTTAAAAGTAATTTCCTCTCAATCTTAAATAAACATGCCCCATTCAAAAAATACAGAACTAAGAACAGATATAGCCCCTGGTTCTCCTCAGACTTGACTGCCCTTGACCAGCACAAAAACATCCTGTGGCGTACTGCATTAGCATCAAATAGCCCCCGCGATATGCAACTTTTCAGGGAAGTTAGGAACCAATATACACAAGCAGTTAGGAAAGCAAAGGCTAACTTTTTCAAACAGAAATTTGCATCCTGTAGCACTAACTCCAAAAGGTTTTGGGACACTGTAAAGTCCATGGAGAATAAGAGCACTTCCTCCCAGCTGCCGACTGCACTGAGGCTAGGAAACACTATCACCACCGATAAATCTACAATAATCGAGAATTTCAACAAGCATTTTGCTACGGCTGGCCATGCTTTCCACCTGGCTACCACTACCCCGGCCACCAGCTCTGCACCCTCCGCTGCAACTTGCCCATGCCCCCCCCCCCCGCTTCTCCTTCACACAAATCCAGACAGCTGATGTTCTGAAAGAGCTGCAAAATCTGGACCCCTACAAATCATCTGGGCTAGACAATCTGGACCCTTTCTTTCTAAAACTAGCCGCCGAAATTGTCGCAACCCCTATTACTAGCCTGTTCAACCTCTCTTTCGTAACGTCTGAGATCCCCAGAGATTGGAAAGCTGCCGCGGTCATCCCCCTCTTCAAAGGGGGTGACACTCTAGATCCAAACTGTTACAGACCCATATCTATCCTGCCCTGCCTTTCGAAAGTTTTTGAAAGCCAAGTTAACAAACAGATCACCGACCATTTCGAATCCCACCGTACCTTCTCCGCTATGCAATCCGGTTTCCGAGCTGGTCATGGGTGCACTTCAGCCACGCTCAAGGTCCTAAACGATATTATAATCGCGATCGATAATAGACAGTACTGTGCAGCCGTCTTCATCGACCTGGCCAAGGCTTTCGACTCTGTCAACCACTGCATTCTTATTGGCAGACTAAATAGCCTTGGTTTCTCAAATGACTGCCTCGCCTGGTTCACCAACTACTTCTCAGATAGAGTTCAATGTGTCAAATCGGAGGGCCTGTTGTCTGGACCTATGGCATTCTCTATGGGGGTGCCACAGGGTTCAATTCTTGGGCCGACTTTTTTCTCTCCGTGTATATCAATGATGTCGCTCTTGCTGCTGGTGACTCTCAGATCCACCTCTACGCGGACGACACCATTTTGTATACATCTGGCCCTTCATTGGACACTGTGTTAACAAACCTCCAAACGAGCTTCAATGCCATACAACACTCCTTCAGTAGCCTCCAACTGCTCTTAAACACTAGTAAAACGAAATGCATGCTCTTCAACCGAACGCTGCTTGCACCCGCCCACCCGACTAGAATCACTACTCTCGACGGGTCTGACCTAGAGTATGTGGACAACTACAAATACCTAGGTGTCTGGTTAGACTGTAAACTCTCCTTCCAGACTCACATTAAGCATCTCCAATCCAAAGTTAAATCTAGAATCGGTTTCCTATTTCGCAACAAAGCCTCCTTCACTCATGCTGCCAAACAAGGCCTCCAACACTCTACTCAGCAAATTGGATGTAGTCTATCACAGTGCCATCTGTTTTGTCTCCAAAGCCCCATATACTACCCACCACTGTGACCTGTAAGCTCTTGTTGGCTGGTCCTCACTACATATTCGTCGCCAAACCCACTGGCTCCAGGTCATCTATAAATCACTGCTAGGCAAATCCCCGCCTTATCTTAGCTCATTGGTCACCATAGCAACACCCACCCATAGTATGCGCTCCAGCAGGTATATCTCACTTGTTATCCCCAAAGCCAACACCTCCTTTGGCCGCCATTCCTTCCAGTTCTCTGCTGCCAATGACTGGAACAAATTGCAAAAATCTCTGAAGCTGGAGACACTTATCTCCCTCACTAACTTTAAGCATCAGTTGTCAGAGCACCTTACCGATCACTGCACCTGTACACAGCCCATCTGAAATTAGCCCGCCCAACTACCTCATCCCTGTATTGTTATTTATTTTTGCTCATTTGTACCCCAGTATCTCTATTTGCACAACATCTCTTGCACATCTATCATTCCAGTGTTAATACTAATTGTAATTATTTTGCACTATAGCCTATTTCTTGCCTTACCTCCATAACTTGCTACATTTGCACACACTGTATATATATTTTGTTGTAATTTTGACTTTATGTTTTGTTTTACCCCATATGTAACTCTGTGTTGTTGTTTTTATCGCACTGCTTTGCTTTATCTTGGCCAGGTCGCAGTTGTAAATAAGAACTTATTCTCAACTGGCTTACCTGGTTAAATAAAGGTGAAATAAAATAATAAATAAAAAAATAAAAAAATAGCAGAGCATTCAGAGGTCAAGACAGCAGGTGCGGTAGGGAGAGAGAGAAAGGGAGGGAAAGAGAAAGAGAGAGAGAGAGAGAGAGAGAGAGAGAGAGAGTCGAAGACAGCAGATCCGGGTCAAGGTAGCACATCCGGTTAACAGGTCAGGGTTCCATAGCAGGCTGAACAGTTGAAACTGAAGCAGCAGCATGACCAGGTGGACTGGGGACAGCCAGGAGTCATCATGCCAGTTAGTCCTGAGGCATGGTCCTAGGGCTCAGGTCCTCCGCGAGGGGAGGAAGAGAGGGAGAGAGAATTAGAGGCATACTCAAGTTCACATAGGAAACCAGATAAAACAGGAGAATTTCACCAAATAGGAAAGACTGACCCTAGCCCTCTGGCACACAGACTATTGCAGCATAGATACTGGAGACGGGGGGGGGGGGGGGGGGGGGGGGGGGGGGGTCGGAGGGCACTGTGGCCCCGTCCGACGTTACCTCCGGACAGGGCCAAACAAGCAGGATATAACCCCACTCACTTTGTCAAAGTACAGCCCCCACACGACTAGAGGGATATCAACAGACCACCAACTTACTACTATGAGGCAAGGCTGAGTATAGCCCACAAAGATCTCCTCTACCGCACGTGCCCGAGGTCGCGCAAGACCGGACAGGAAGATCACGTCAGTGACTCAACCTACTCAAGTTGAGTATAGCGCAAAAAAGCCTGGCACGATGTGACGCACCCCTCCTAGGGACGGTATGGAAGAGCACTAGTAAGTCAGTGACTCGGCCCATGTAATAGGGTCAGAGAATCCCAGTGGAGAGAGGGACCCTCATAGGGGACCATTGTTAGATGCCATAGCTCAGAGTGCATGTGTTATTACTTTTATCTGCCTCCCAAATGGCACACTATTCCGTACATAGTGCACTACTTTTGAACAGAGCCCTATGCAGAAAAGTGTAAATGGAAAAGGGTATAGGGAAGTGGGTGCAATTTGGGATACAACCTTTGAGAAAAGGCCCACACCGTGTTGCCAGCTTCATAACCAATTAGGTCATACAGGGAGACCTTAAGGGCCCTGATTGATTTGAGCCAACTCAGCAGGAGTCATTCCTCCAGCTGTAACCTATGGGAGCACAACGCTCCTCTATCCTCCTCCACCTTCCACACACGCAGGCAGCTAGGGGACCCCCACAGAGAAAATGCAATTGTTTTTTGTCTGTGCCATGAAGATCGTCTTAATCATGGCTAGCTAGCAAGGAGACTTTGGACGTGTAGTGTCATTTTCTCACCAGAATGCGTTTTCATATTCTGGACCTGTCTGGCTCCTTACAATAATCGGGTGCCTAGCTGCTTCAGAGAAAAGTATTCCATTATAGACTGGGGTGAGAATGGGAAACAGACTGCACAAAGAAAGAATCGTTTTGTAAAAAGAATAGTACACAACTGCACAACTTTCTGTAAGGGTTGGTGTGAGGTGTGATGCAGGTGCGGTGCAGGTTAGACAGTAGGCAGTAGGCCGAGATGGTGAAACAAGGAACTTTACTGATGGTCCCGAAGCCAGGATACAAAATAACGGACTTTACACGAAAAAGAAAGGCGGAGCAAATAAGACTCCAAAAAACAGGCATACAGACAAAAATACGAAATACTAACTATAACTGAAATAATAAATAAACAGGGAGAACACTTCTCACGTACCTGTCCATACGTCCCGCGATCAGACACTGATTAGTACTGCTTGGCATAGTGAAACTAGCAGAGAAAACGGAGCAAGGGAACACAGGAAAGTGAGGGCATAAATACACAGATTAATCAGATAGACACAGGTGACAACAATAGGATCATGATTAGTCCCGACTGTGAGTGAGGAGGTGCCTAAGGTTGTCGGAGGATGACACCTAGTGGGTTGCTCTGGAACTGCGACCCCCTCCTCTGGGTGGAGGCGACGGAATGTTGTTATCAGCCCTGGGTCCAGAATGTCGCTCCTGGGCACGCAGGACCGCTCCTCCGGCCCATAACCCTCCCAGTCCACCAGAAATGTGAGACCCCTCCCCACCCGCCGGCAGTCCAGGATCCGGTCCACAGAGTAAAAGCCGGCTGCCCTCCGACGAGGCGCAGTGGGGGAACAGGACAAGGAGGGGGAGCCAGGGGACAGGTGGTGACGGGCTTGAGGAGGGACACATGGAATGTGGGATGCACCCGCATGGTGGGGGGAAGTTGCAGGCGGTAGGCCACTGGGTTGACTCGCCGGACCACTCTGAATGGCCCGACGAACCGGGGGGACAGCTTCCTGGACTCCATGTGGAGGGGAAGATCGTGCGTGGAGAGCCACACCCTCTGTCCCGGGCGAAAGACCGGGGCCGGGCGACGCCTGCGGTTGGCCTGATGTTGAGAGAAGACCGAGGCCCGCTTAAGCACCGCCCGTACCTGCCTCCAGGTGCGGCGACAGCGACTGATGTTGCTCGGGGAATAGGGGGGGTTGGTACCCATAATGGCACTATAAGGGGGACAGGCCGGTGGACGAGCAGAGAAAGGTGTTGTGGGCGTAATCTGCCCACGCCAGTCGCTGACTCGACGTAGCTGGGTTGCTGGAGGCGTAGGCACTTGGGCACTTGGGGATAGGCAGGGGTCGGAGCAGCCCTGCCGCGGGCTGACGTGAGCTCTTAGTGTGCGCGTCCCTCTCCACCAGGTCCAAGGGGTCGAACTGCCGGGAGAGCGCGTCAGGCTTGGTGTTCTTCGACCCCGGACGGTGTGAGATGGTGAACCGTAACCTGGTGAAGAACAACGCCCACCTGGCCTGGCGCGAGTTGAGCCTCTTGGCCCCCTGAATGTAGGCTAAGTTCTTGTGGTCAGTCCATACTACAAATGGATTGGTTGGCCCCCTCTAGCCAATGTCTCCACTCCACCAGGGCGAGCTTGACTGCTAGCAGCTCACGGTTCCCCACGTCGTAATTCCGCTCCACCGGGGACAGCCGATAGGAGAAATACGAGCAGGGGTGAGTCTTACAGTCCGTCAGGAACCACTGGGACAGGATTGCTCCCACTGCAACGTCTGAAGCATCCACCTCCACAATGAACGGCAGGGACGGATCAGGTTGCCCGAGGACCGGGGCAGATGTAAAGCGCCGCTTCAGCGCTTCAACGCTTCAAATGCGTTCCCCACTTCTGGGGTCCAGGCGAAGGAGCGTACGCTCATCTTGGTGAGGGCTGTCAGGGGAGCGACTAGCGAGCTAAAATTGCCAATTAATCGCCTATAAAAATTTGTGAACCCTAAAAACCATTGTAGTTGCTTGAGGGATGAGGGCTGGGGCCAATACAGTACCGTGCTGACCGAGGCTGGGTCCATCCGTAGGTCCCCCTGGATGACGATGAACCCCAGGAAGGAGACTGTCTCAGTTTGGAACACACACTTATCCGCCTTGACGTAGAGCTGGTGAAGGAGAAGGCGTTGTGAAGGGCCTGCCTAACATACTGCTGGTGTTCACTCATGTCCTTCGAAAATATGAGGATATCATCCAAATACACGAAGATGCTGTAGTCGAAGAGGTCCCGGAGCATGTCATTGACCAACGCCTGGAACACCGCAGGTGCGTTGGCTAGACCAAACAGCATGACTTGGTACTCGTAATGCCCACTGGGTGTATTAAACGCTGTCTACCACTCATCCCCCTCCCGAATCCTCACCAGGTTGTAGGCGTAACACTTTCCAATTTCATTTTGTGTTGAAGCCTTGGCAGTAATAAAGGCGTCATCCCTCAGGTCATGCTGCCAAGGACTAACTGAACTGTGGAGCGTCTTTCATTATGTAATAGCTTTTTCTTGTGTTGCATATGCAGCGGAAATATTCTGTCATCATGCTCAACTAGCAATCTCTAGCTCAGAGCAAAAAGTGGCAGTGTTATTCTAGCTAGCCAGCTAGTTTTAATTCTGATATTATTTGCATTCCCATTCTCTTTTTTTTAAGCGTACCATGCACATTTTGGCCCAACATATTGTAGTCTTATTTTTCTAACTACCGTTTAGGATCCAATGGATGACTTTCCCCCTGTCCATTAACTACCCAATGCTCTTTTGAAAACCATCTCAGATAGGTGTTTGGTTCTTACTTCCTGTCCTCTCTCTCTCTCTACTTCCAGATCAGAGTTGTTTCTTACTTCCTGTCCTCTCTCTCTCTCTCTACTTCCAGATCAGAGTTGGTTCTTACTTCCTGTCCTCTCTCGCTCTACTTCCAGATCAGAGTTGGTTCTTACTTCCTGTTCTCTCTCTCTCTCTCTGCTCCCAGATCAGAGTTGGTTCTTGCTTCCTGTCCTCTCTCTCTACTTCCAGATCAGAGTTGGTTCTTACATCCTGTTCTCTCTCGCTCTACTCCCAGATCAGATTTGGTTCTTACTTCCTGTCCTCTCTCTCTCTACTTCCAGATCAGAGTTGGTTCTTACTTCCTGTCCTCTCTCTCTGCTCCCCAATCAGAGTTGGTTCTTACTTCCTGTCCTCGCTCTCTCTGCTCCCAGATCAGAGTTGGTTCTTACTTCCTGTTCTCTCTCTCTCTGCTCCCAGATAAGTGTTTGGTGGCCAAGGGTGGCTGCAGCCATCAGTGCATGGTGGTACCAGGGACGGGGGTGGTCTGCTCCTGCCCTACAGGGCTCCACCTGGACTCTAACAACAGGACGTGTGAGGCAGTGGACTACTGCAGCAGGCACCTGAAGTGCAGCCAGATGTGTGAGCAGTACAAGACCACCGTCAAGTGTTCCTGCTACCCAGGCTGGAGGCTGGGCCCCGATGGAGACAGCTGCCACAGCACAGGTGAGGTGACAAAGTGTGGGGGCTGCATGTGTAGAGAGTATAGAGTAGAGTAGTACTTTATTGATCCCAACTTGGGAAATTGTTTTATCACTCAGCATCATTAATAAATTACAAAAACAAGACACGTATGAATGACATACACATTTAAGAAAAACACATGATAAGACATGTAGGAAGGTTCCGCCACGTTAATAGCCATAAAAGATATAGACCACTTTAAGATAGGTAAAAAATGCTGTTGTCTATCCTACTCCTGGGAAACAAGCAAAACCACATTCCTATTAAGAAGGCATCAGAAAGAAGGCATAATTTGTGTGTGTGTGTGTGTGTGTGTTTATGTGGGGGGAGGCTTTACCTAAATCCAATCACACAGCTTTACATGACGGGAACAAACCGTCTAATTGTGTTGTAGTTTGTGTGATTGGATTGATGTTTTGGACATTTTTTTGCTTCTGTGTTGCTGCTCGTAAACGAGGAGAACATGCAGCCTTGATGTGTCGCATTCAGATTTATGAAGCTCGTTTTTTACTGCTCACCTCTCTATTTCCCTCAGAGATTGATGGCAGTTGCAGTGCTAATCGTATGTTAAAACGGGGAAAGAATAGGCAATTTACTAAAGAACCACATGAACATTTTATTAGTTTTTACATAAATCCATTTTCTGTGCACAATAGAAAACTGAGTAAGAACCTCATTTAATTTGGACAAATGTGCTATTGAATCTGTGGTGATGTTTCATGCAAGGCTCTAGCTTTTGTACAGAGAATTTCAGGTATAACTGAATTATAAATAAAGTAGGAACTTGTCAGCATAACAAGTAGCTAACATCCCTACTCCATACAGTATCCAGTCTTTGTCATTGTTCTGTGAATTGAAGATAATATGTTTCTCCGTAGTCAGGATAGGCTTTCTGTTCTGTGCGTAACACTGATTTTGCCTTAGAGTAACCTTGTATCTGGAATTCTCTGAAGATAAGGTGTGTGTACCAGTGCCTAGTCATGAAAGAGCATGATCCAGTGTGTGTGCATGGGCGCACATGTGCGAATGTGTGTGTGTGTGTGTGTGCATGTTTGTGTAGTCATGCGTACCTGTGTATGTTCTGCGCTAATGGCACCAGTTCAAATAACTTCCCAGGCTCATGCCATTCATGTTGGTATTGTTGTGGCATCGTTCACCTCCGTTTTAACTTTTTCCTCTTCCTTTCCTCCCTTTCTTTCCATTGGCCAGATCCCTTTGAGGCTTTCATCATCTTCTCTATCCGGCATGAGATAAGACGGATAGATCTTCATAAGCGAGACTACAGCCTGCTGGTGCCAGGGCTCCGGAACACCATTGCTCTTGACTTCCACTTTAATCACAGCCTGCTCTACTGGACAGATGTGGTGGAGGATAAGATCTACAGAGGACGCCTCTCGGACTCCGGAGGTATGTAGGTTCTATATGTTAGATCTAGGCTACATGTTAGATCTAAATGGTGTAATCTATTGGGCTTTCAGACTCTGAAGGTACATAGGTCTAAGCTGCACATTAGATCGTAAAAGCTGTGATGTGTTGAGGCTTTCAAAGTCTTTAAAAACTTTGGCTAGGCTAAGCATTAGATCTAAATGCTGTGATGTATTAGATGAGGAGGATAAACATGGCTTCCTTCTGTAGTGGAACTTTTTTTTAGACTTTCCAACTATACAGTTTAGTTCATTAATGTTTTCAGTTCAGTTCTACTTAGCACCTCTTTGATACTGTGAGCAATCCTGTCCCTCCATTGAGGAGTTATTTCAGCAGGGTAATGCTGAGTGTAGTGGGTAGACTCTAGGACCCTCAGTAGTCTTCCCATTGTTATAGTAAGTCTCTGAAGACTTTGATGAATTGCAACTTCTTGTTTGGTGTTTGGGTTGGTGTTTTGTGCTGCGCGACATTCTGGGCCTCTGCTGCAATATAACTATTTCTCTCTTTCTCTCATTTTCTCTATGGGGCCATAGAATGCATCCCACTGCTGCACCTACACTGAGTGTGAACGGCGTATGGTAGTAGGGGGGGGGTGGTGTTCTTAATGTTTTATATTAGTAGGGTGTTCATAATGTTTTGTATTAGGAAGGTGTTCATAATGTTTTGTATTAGGAAGGTGTTCTTAATGTTTTGTATTAGGAAGGTGTTCTTAATGTTTTGTATTAGGAGGGTGTTCATAATGTTTTGTATTAGGAAGGTGTTCTTAATGTTTTTTATTAGGAAGGTGTTCTTAATGTTTTGTATTAGGAAGGTGTTCTTGATATTTTATATTAGGAAGGTGTTCTTCATGTTTTATATTAGGAAGGTGTTCTTCATGTTTTGAATTAGGAAGGTGTTTTGTACAGTGTATTTCTCCCTTTTGTGATTCTTCCACAAAGGCTCCAGCAGAGGATCATTGTAAACAGCTTGATTATAGACATACTGGGAAAACCTTTTATGTTTAATGGAACACTGGAGGAAACTATCTTCTTTTATGTCCATGTGTTCTTCCTCAAGAGTTTTTCTAGCAAGGGTTTTCTCTCCATGAAATGTAATTTTGTTGGCAGACCAACAAACAAATCCCCTCAACAAGGGGGAAATAATCAGGATGAGTTGAATACATCCCTTCACCAGTCTTCTCTCACCTACTGTGTGTCAGTGGAGGCTGCTAATGGGAGGATGGCTCACAATAATGGCTGGAACAGAGTGAATGGTATGGCATCAAACACATGGAAACCATGTGTTTGATGTATTTCATACCATTCCACTGATTCCGCTCCAGCCATTACCATGAGCCCGTTCTCCCCAATTAAGGTGCAACCAACCTCCTGTGGTGTGTGTATTGATGACCATGGTGCTGTGGGTTGGTCCATCTCACCGGGTCTAAAAGGTGGTGATCATGGTCCTGTGGTTGGTGTTCCATCAGGTGTGACAGGGATCGAGGTTGTTGTGCAGCATGGGCTGGCCACTCCAGAGGGGCTGGCGGTGGACTGGATAGCAGGGAACCTGTACTGGATCGACAGTAACCTGGACCAGATCGAGGTGGCCAGGCTGAATGGAGAGATGAGGACCACACTGATAGCTGGATGGATGGAGCATCCACGGGCCATCGCTCTGGACCCAGGACAAGGGTGGGTGCTAACTCACATCAGATCTGGGTTCAAATAGCATTTGTTTTCTTTCAAATACTTTGAGCGTTTGATTGAGTGACAGATGTGCAGGGTTTACACTTTTGGGATTATTCAATCGGTTCTGTTGTGCCAGACAAGCTCAATCAAACACAGCTAAACTATTTGAAAGAAAACAAATACTATTTAAATCCAGGTCTGACTCACATACTGTACACAATCAATCAGGTTTGAGGTCATAATAAGAAAAACAACACCCTTCATATTCTTCATTATTAATGTATTCTATACTTTCTTCTCCCTTGATGTATGAAGATGTCTGCTATGTTAGGGTCTGTTAGTGATAAAAATATAGAATACATTAATAATAATACTGTGGACTCCATTCTAGCGAAGACAAGTGATATGGCTAATATTTTCCTCTTCCCTGACTCATGCACATTACCAATCTTACTTTTTCTCTTTTAATACATTGCTTCAATTCATCTCTGAACAATCTCACAGGCATAAAGTTTAATGAAAAAAACGGAATAAGAAGATGTTTTGGTATAGTGTGTTTAGCTTAGTTCTTCCGTTAATGCATACTGATGAAATATGTTTATGTGATCATAAAATTCATTTGGTTTATTTTGTTTTAAAACAAAGTCCAGACATTCATAAAAATCAATTAAGTAGTCTTATAAGATATACATCTGCACATTTTAAGGGGGATGACTGCATTTCAGAGGATAACACATTATGATTAATGGATGATTTCTGTGCATACAGGAAAGGTTCCTCTCCATAGTAATAATTATAATGTAATTACTTGAATCCACTCAAAAGAGTGGGCCATTGCTCTAAGGGGCCTGATCCAATGAATAAGGCTATTGATCTGTAGAAGGATATTTCTTCCTAACACTGTTTCATTGTCGTCAATGCCTAATTTAAGCCTGTGCTCTTTAAGGGCTCTGTGGGTCTCCCGCTCTTGCCTGTGGTTCTGTGGACAAAAGCAGGATAGTTGCCATGTTTGGGAGATTAGACGTGACTCTGTTGATGGGCAAAGTAATCACAATGTTCATTTACAGGCTACATTGAGCCGTAGAATGTCATAAAAAGCAGATGGCTTCCAGTTCCATCCAATGTCACAGATGCTGTGGAACATGGGTCAGTTTGGTGCAGTTCTAGGATCCGCAGACTGCTGCCAATGTGTATGTTTACGAGTCCCACTTACGGCTATACACTTATGGCTATGTAGTTATTATACACTGCTCAAAAAAATACAGGGAACACTTAAACAACACATCCTAGATCTGAATGAATGAAATAATCTTTTAAATACTTTTTTCTTTACATAGTTGAATGTGCTGACAACAAAATCACACAAAAAGTATCAATGGAAATCAAATTTATCAACCCATGGAGGTCTGGATTTGGAGTCACCCTCAAAATTAAAGTGGAAAACCACACTACAGGCTGATCCAACTTTGATGTAATGTCCTTAAAACAAGTCAAAATGAGGCTCAGTAGTGTGTGTGGCCTCCACGTGCCTGTATGACCTCCCTACAACGCCTGGGCATGCTCCTGATGAGGTGGCGGATGGTCTCCTGAGGGATCTCCTCCCAGACCTGGACTAAAGCATCCGCCAACTCCTGGACAGTATGTCGTGCAACGTGGCGTTGGTGGATGGAGCGAGACATGATGTCCCAGATGTGCTCCATTGGATTCAGGTCTGGGGAACGGGCGGGCCAGTCAATAGCATCAATGCCTTCCTCTTGCAGGAACTGCTGACACACTCCAGCCACATGAGGTCTAGCATTGTCTTGCATTAGGAGGAACCCAGGGCCAACCGCACCAGCATATGGTCTCACAAGGGGTCTGAGGATCTCATCTCGGTACCTAATGGCAGTCAGGCTACCTCTGGCGAGCACATGGAGGGCTGTGCGGCCCCACAAAGAAATGCCACCCCACACCATGACTGACCCACCGCCAAACCGGTCATGCTGGAGGATGTTGCAGGCAGCAGAACGTTCTCCACGCTGTCTCCAGACTCTGTCACGTCTGTCACATGTGCTCAGTGTGAACCTGCTTTCATCTGTGAAGAGCACATGGCGCCAGTGGCGAATTTGCCAATCTTGTTGTTCTATGGCAAATGCCAAACATCCTGCACGGTGTTGGGCTGTAAGTACAAGCCCCACCTGTGGACGTCGGGCCCTCATACCACCCTCATGGAGTCTGTTTATGACCGTTTGAGCAGACACATGCTCATTTGTGGCCTGCTGGAGGTCATTTTGCAGGGCTCTGGCAGTGCTCCTCCTGCTCCTCCTTGCACAAAGGCGGAGGTAGCGGTCCTGCTGCTGAGTTGTTGCCCTCCTACGCCCTCCTCCACGTCTCCTGATGTACTGGCCTGTCTCCTGGTAGCGCCTCCATGCTCTGGACACTACACTGACAGACACAGCAAACCTTCTTGCCACAGCTCGCATTGATGTGCCATCCTGGATGAGCTGCACTACCTGAGCCACTTGTGTGGGTTGTAGACTCCGTCTCATGCTACCACTAGAGTTAATGCACCGCCAGCATTCAAAAGTGACCAAAACATCAGCCAGGAAGCATAGGAACTGAGAAGTGGTCTGTGGTCACCACCTGCAGAGCCACTTCTTTATTGGGGGTGTCTTGCTAATTGCCTATCATTTCCACCTGTTGTCTATTCCATTTGCACAACAGCATGCGAAATGTATTGTCAATCAGTGTTGCTTCCTAAGTGGACAGTTTGATTTCACAGAAGTGTGATTGACTTGGAGTTACATTGTGTTGTTTAAGTGTTCCCTTTATTTTTTTGAGCAGTGTAGTTTGCAATGCTATTCATTGACAAAACAACGAAAACAGGCTGAATACTTGAATCTGAAAATTGTTATGAAATCATAATATGCCATTTAGCAGACGCTTTTATCCAAAGTGACTTACAGTCATGTGCGCATATATTTTTACGTATGGGTGGTCCCGGGGATCGAACCCACTACCCTGGCATTACAAGTGCCATGCTCTACCAATTGAGCTACAGAGGACCACATGAAAGACAACTCAAACAAAATTGGGACTTAGTATCTTGTGTGAATGACTTTTTACTAAGTTGTTCAAACTATATACTAACTTGTTCAAACGAGATACTAAGTTGTTCGAATGATATACTAAGTTGTTAGGACGAGATCATTTTAAGAGTGTCTTGGCCTTCTGGGCTTCCGTACCCTTAGCCTTGGTTGTCTGAGGGAAAATAAGAATAATACACTTAATCTTTAATGTTTGTCCCCGACCCAAAAAAATATTGGTCGACCGAAAGTCATCGGTTCTTTTAAAACATGTATTTTTCCATATATAGACACGCCCTATGTGTTTTAATAAAATCAACTGCAGTATATATGCATTGAGCTTGTCTGATGCTTTAAGCGCACTGTTTGATGAAATAAAACACAAACGACTCGAGGGAGCCAGGTCAAGATAACCAGGAGAAAACTTGACCTGACCATCCTCCTCCCACTCCTACTGGCTTTCACAGATTCTAGCTTTACTCTCCTGAAGTTACCGGTAATAGGCTACACGAGGAGTCAGAAAACTTTCTCATGTGGAATGCCAATTTATCTTACTTACCATTTCTACCGATCTGCGTGTCAGTTATGGTTTTCATATGCACATTTTCGTGGAACAGTTTCATTTCATTTATAATAACGTCTTCATATCTCGAAATCATTGTCAAATGGTTAATCAAAATTAGATCCAAATCTAAATGAAAATTATACAAAGCTAAAAATGTACTTCTATTGCCATGGCCAACTATGTAAAAATAGCCTATAAAGCCAACAAATAAAAACATTGCAGCCTGCAGGTAGAAAATATTAGGATAAAAATAAATATCCCATAAATCACATTGGCTAAACATGGCCTGTCTGCAACAAACGTTTCCACTGGATCAGAGCATGACATTTTTCCATTTCACGCTAAGTGGTTATCGAAAGGGCGAGAGCTGTAAAGATTTTTCAAATACGTTGAGGAACTATTGTCTTTCTCAATGGATGAAAAAACAGACTTTGTTTGCTTACTGTTTGAGGTGAAGAAGACATTACTTTGAGAAGCTCCACAGCTCATTAGTTGTGTTGTGTTAAGCCAATCAGAAATACTATCAGATCCCCAAATGGGCACTTTTATATGCCTACATTTGCGCACAGGCCAGGTAGCCTATAGGCCTACTTCTATGCATAATCAGATGCGTGTTCTTACTCAACATTGACAGAAGCGCTAACAAAAGACAATAGCTTTGTTCGAATACTCATACTAACCGCACTAACCATACTATTTGTAATGTAACTTGAGTATGTAGTATGCTTATTGGTCATAGTATGGATATAGTTAGTATGCCAAAATTCCCGGCTGCCGTACTACATTCGCAAAATATGAAGTATACAAGCAGTGGACACTATTTCGTGCTTTTCGGGTCCATAATGCAATTCTTCAGAAAATGGGCGTGGCTTCACAACATTTTCAGATTTGAAGAAAACGGCGGAAAATATGCAGCCAAATTCTGTCGAGAGCAGATACAAATTCATTGCTTTAATAAATTATGACAAATGTTAAGAAAATGTTGAGCAATGTAATAAGGTAAAGAATTTTCAAATAAATGTTGTTTCACATTATGTTGGCTGACAATTTGTTAGCTATGCTAGCCTTATGAACTCCATAGCTGTCACGACTGTCTGTGAGATGCGGTAAACGAAGTCAGGCGCAGGACACAGAACTCTCGGATACGTACTTTTAATACGAAAAGGATCCAAAAGGACACAAAAATAACTCCACGCAGGGAGGAAATAACACGCTCACAAATAGACAACAAAACAATCACACACAAAGTACAGATGAGAGACAGGGGTAATTATAAGGGAA